TTCAACTCTGGTCTGTGTTGCTGTGCTGTGTGTGTGTGTGTGTGTGTGTGTGTGTGTGCAGGAGCTCAGCCCCGCCTGCAGCGTTGTTTCACTGCTCTGAGGCGAGACAGAGAAGTGTGTAATCTGCACAAAACGATGTACAGATGTGGCAAATAAATTTTCTGCAGAATACAGCTGCAACAAAGCAACAGACACTGCAAGACAGTTTCAAAGGGAGAGAAGAATTCCTTCTAGACAGTTACAAGAACAAAAGAAATTACAGAGAGGCTTTGTTGGGTTATTTTATAGCCTATTTAGTTATTTAGTATAGTCAAATAAAACATTAAGGAACAGCTTGGATGCAGGCTTTTTTTTATTATTGCAATGTAGAAATGTTCACCTGTATTACTAAGGAAAATACAGGTATTGGATCAGGAATAGATATCAGCAGATACTCAATATTACAGGGGGATCGGGGGCAAAACCACTTGATCGGGACATATTGAATCGATATAGAGAATTGTGGAATTTCACTGGTATTGGTTTGACTACTACATTTCTGGTATTGTGACATCCCTAATGAGTAGATGTGCTTTTAATAAGTTTGTTGAACATTTTCTGTGTTAAAACCATATCGGCCAAACCTAAAAATATGAAAGGGGGAACATCATAAAAACAGTGCTGTTTTTGGTAGGAAAACTTTTAGTGAAAGCAATTCAACCACATGATAAACTATCACATTTAAACTGAAAGAAGCAACCTCTTTTTCTTTAAAGTTCCTTTGTGCAGACTTCGATCTCTTGTGTATTAACTAAGAATAACGCTGGTTTAGCAGAGCTCAGAGACAACCTAATTAAATATAACAATTCACCACAGAGACAAAGATAATGAGAGACTTTATCACTAGTGACTGCATTCAAGCCACTTACTGGGTCTTTAGTGTCTCATGGTGATCTAAATGCTGATTCACAGGCTTTTCAACCCTGACTAGAACTAAATAATGTAAGAAACTGCTGAGGATTCCTACCCGGTAGTGACTACAGCAGGGGTCTTTGGCAGGTCCAGGGCAGGATCCTCAGAGATCTTGATGGCCTCCTTCATGGCAGCGAGCAGACCCTGGCCTCCCTCTCCTCTCAGGGCGGGGCCGAAACACTCTGGACGTCTGATCAGCAGCTTCACCACCACGTTGGCGTTTTCCTCCACACTCTCACCTGGTATAGAAATACAGCAGGGCAATGGACAGGATTTGAATGATCCCTAAAAAGGCCAGGTCAGAGTCAGCAAGTCTCCTGGAAGTCGTGATTATTAAGGATTATTTCTTTTTTTTTTATCCAGGGAAAGCTGACTAACACTTCCACTTGGGCTCTTCTCAACTCTTGGGCATTTGACAGTAGTTAGGGGTGGGGAGGGTTAGGGTTGATGGAGGGAGGACAGCTTTGCTTGCTTTCCTGCAAGATTCTGAGATTTTGACTAATCTTGTTTTATTTGTTTACCTGTAACTTCAATAACACACAATAACATCATCCACTATGCCATGCAAACCCAGTGTGTGTATACAGACCAATCACAAAGACAGAGTCACACAGGTAATGTGTCTTCACAATTAAAGTGTCTATATGCAGCATTTTGCAGTGCTAAAATTGTTCCTGTTTTATGCCATAAAGGCCCTGTTTGGTCAGTGGCATTATATGTAAACTGCAATGAATTAACTAGTTTTTGTTAACATAAACATGCTGAATGCATGCGTCAAAACTATTTGCAAGACCTTATTTTGAAAGTATGAAATTCTTTACAACAGAATTTACAGCTTGTGGTTTTCCTTGTCTCATCTTTAGAGTCTTATTGCTGCCATTTACAACACATTGCCACCAGCAGCTGTTGATTAGTGCTGTAACAGTCACATGAAGGAAATGTGATACAAATAAAATATGGACCTGCAGAGCAACATTACTCTAGTAATAGAGTGCCACAAGTCATGAGCTCAGTAGGAAAGTCGACATACCATTGCAGAAGACGACGAACCTCAGGAAGGACAGGTAACGCTCTCCCTCTATGGGGTTCCAGCCGAGGTCTGGGTAACCCTTAGCAACCAGCATGGCACAACTCTGAAGACCACAGCCTGCAAGGTATGTCACCACCTACAGTACACACACATAGACACACACAATTCGATTTCACTCCTGGGTATTATGATAGCACACTCTGTCTTTTTGACTGTCAGTGTCAGTTGCAGTGACAGCTTGAAAGCATTTGCTGAGCTAGCTTATTCAAACAACACAAAATCGTGCTCCATTTTTCACTGAGAAAACTTGGGTGGGTTTTTGATCATGAGGTTTTTATTTCTATCTGACTTACTTTCACCACAAGTGAGCAGTGAGGAGTATTAATAAGAAACCATCCCAGCTGTTAATAATGCAAAGGAATCTGCTGATTGTTTTGCTCTCCAGTGTGTTTCAGAACTTAATTCTAATATGATTATCATCTGAAAATTGTAAAACCTAAAGGATAATACCACTAAGACTAATCTTGCTGTCCCACTACATATGCAAATTGACTAAACGGTTCTTTCAGTGCACTTAACCTATATAAAACTAAAACCTGTATGTGGTTCTCTCATCATTACAGCATGGTAAATTTAATTTGATTTTAACCATTTTACAGTGCTTGAAATAGTATTTAACACCTGCCACAACTGAAGGTGTGCTAAAATAACAAACCTTCTCCAGATCGGGCTCCTCCAGGGCGAGGGCCAGGCCGTTGTTGTCCATCACTGAAGATGCTGCAACATCCAGTGGAGTGGAGCCCCGCATAGCTTCAGAGGCTACACGCACACACACACACACACACACACACACACAGACACACACAATGTGTTACCATCAATGCTAACTTTTTTGTTTCATACCTAAACAACAGGGGGCAGTCTATCTACATGCTGTTCTGATATTCTCTATTCTCTCTCTTGCAGTTCAGAGGAGCACGTAGCATTTAAAGGATAATGAAATCTGTTCAAGTCAACATCTGACCTTTAAAGAAAGCGTTATAACATGTTAATAACATACTGACTTTTTTAAACACTTCAGATATCCATTGGTAAAGGAAAAAAAAATATTTTGTCATATTATCTCCAACAGATTCTCACACATTTACTAAAAGCACTTTGCTTTTTAGAAAATAAGAAAATTACTTTATTGCTATATTACTTATCTGACACTCAGTTAGAGTAGCAAACATGATAAAAAAAAAATTCTGCAACCATGATCAAAATATACTTAATATACAAATGATGTATAGAGCGTAGATGAACTGCTTAATGCTTTTAATGGATATCTGCGTTTCCTATCTACTCTACTGATCATTAGTATTGTAATCAATGCAAAACAGTCACGGAAATACTCTGATGTTGTGCAGATACATTATTCAAGTTAATGAATCCTCTGCAACTCAATGTGCAGAAACACTGCCTGCCTACATAAACACTTACATTCCCACTGGGCACATAATCAGAAAATAATAAATGAATAATTGTGCACACTTGCAGGGGAATTTTGATAAAAAAATATATATCAGTAATTGGTTTATAATTGTAACTATGTCCTTCATGCAGGTTAACTTATTATTTGGGACAATTTCGCCTGAAATGAACAAACATTTACCAACAGAAAACACAAGGCACGTCTCCAAGCAACTTCACATTAACGTATGTGATTTATGAGGACGCAAATATCACGTTTCATGTTAGGCATAACAAACTGGTGGTGTGTTTGCATTCGTCTGTCCTCTCCACACTTTGTGAACCTTTCCTATTTCACAGGCAGGAGCTTTAGTTAACAGCAGCAGCAGCAGCAGCAGCAGCAGCCAGAGCCCAGTGACTCATCAGTCCTGCCCTGCATGCCTAAATAACCCTCGTCCCTCATTTTCCTGCCTTCTTCTCTGCCATTCTTCTCTCTCTATCAGCTGCCTCCCTCTCTGCCCCTCTCCCCCTTAAACTGATACCCTGGCATAATGTGGGCAGTAAGTTTGTGTCACACTTCAATTAGCTGAAGAACTCCTCCAGCAAGTGGCATTATTGGTTCCATTGAAAATTTTGCGTCATTTTGGGAGCAGTAAAAGGCAAAATTTTCAGTTCCTACAGTGTGGTAAATACTCGCAGAAATTAAATATGTCAGGGAAATCTCTCAATATTTTTCTCATCTGCTATAACCTTTAACTTTCTTTCATCATTCATCATCTCATCTTCCCTGTCTGAAAATCTTTCATCATTTTATTCAGTAGTTTCTGCTTATCCTTAATATTTACCACTTTCCATAAATTTTTAAACATCTGTCTTCCTCTCCCAGAATGATATACACTAACAGGAACAGAAATAATTGCTGTAAGGCAACTGTCAATCAATAATAAGAGAGTAGACGGTGTCATTTTATGAAGTCTACCGCTACTTACCCAGCCCCACACTGCTGTTCTCCAGCAGGTAGCTCAGGTGGTCGAACATAGCTTTCTGGTTCTGACGGCTAATACGACAGAAGTAGCACAAGAAACGACAACAGCTGGCCACCATCTTGGGGAAGGCGATCTCCTGTGGATAAAAATGAAATTAATGAATTTGTATTTTTATTTAAAAAGAAGGGGTTGACATGGGCAACATTATACTTACTAACATTATATAGGAAAAGTATTTCAATTACATATGCAATGGGTTATATCTTATAGAAACATATGTTGCACACTCTTGCCAGTATTTTACATATTGATAATAGTGTAATCTTACGGTAAAGGCTCATTTTTACATACAGTTTATTTTATTGGCAATAGGGTTTTGCTGCAGCCATTTCCGTATGAATGCTTTCTTGGCCAACATTTTAAACAAATATTCATTCTAAGCTATGAGTTTGTCTGGGATTTTGCACAAGAATAGTGTGACAAAAGAGCAACTTCTATTCCAGAAGATTGTCATCTTTTTCTTTAGCAATCTCTTAACAATATGACAGAATGAAAGGGCAAGCCCAAAATTATTATAATGGTCAGTCATTTTTTGGGCACACTGCCGCAAGCAATCATCATGTTTTTATATATACTGAATACATTTCAGTAACAGAAAAATCATATTATGTTCTTCCAATAGAACCATCTCCACGTCTTTGAATAGGCAGCCTTAGCCTGGCTTTCACATACATCATTCCAGTTACATTCAGATATCTCCAAGCCTGATTCTTTCTCCGCAGACAGCAGCATAGTTTTTGGAGTTTCGGATGATCAGGTTTTAATGTGAATCCGAGGCTCTTAAATATTCTCCAAAATATACTGTATGACCCAAACTGACGTTGTTAGGCGAGACAAGAAACCATTTTTGAGGACAATACATAACCTTTCCCCAAAAGGCAGTTTCCCCATTTGCAGCAGCTCCGGCGGATTCTTATCTATTTTGATATGTCTGGAGGATTTTGAGCTTTATATGTTTGGCTCTGATAAAAGCTTAAAGTGTAGTCAATAAATAAAATGTATTTTCTGTTCACAACAGAAACAACTGGAAAAATCATTCAGTCTTCAAGCCATTTCGTTATAATGCTGTTACTTCTGTGGGGTCATTCTGAGCATAAATCTAAAAGAAGTAATTTTTGTCCACACTAGAGACGAAAGTAAATTGCCAGAGGAGGTAAATCCTCACCGTACCTCCGGCAAATTACATTCAGTAAATATGTGGAGATATATGTTTATTATCTTCCGTAACTGTTCAACTTTAAATCTTGCTGACATTTCTAAAATGAGATTTATGGTTGTTTTTGACAACTAAACCAAATTTTCCTTTTTTAATTGGTGCCTTGTGAAAGGTTACTCAGTACTAATTCTACATGTGTGGTAATGTGCATGAATAGGAATCAACATTTTATTCAAGGCTGGGTTGAAAAATTAGAAAACCTACTTAAGGTTTTATTTCTTGGTGTATTCACATTATGCCATAACTATATATTAAAGAACTCTTCATTTTGTAAGTAGAAAATCAATTATCAGACTAAATCATGGTTTGATATTATACCACACAATGACTGAACCAACATTTGAGATAATCAAGGAGTAAACCTGATAAAACACTTACTAGCTGTGGTACTGTCGCTTTATATGGCCACAGTTAGTGAAGGACACATATCAAGTGGCAGTGAACTAGTCTGGAATTTATGCCTGACACTGCCTGATCAGACTGCCAGAGTCAGATGTGAAGGCCTGAATGTTTCTCTGAGGTCTTTATGTCTGAGGTTCAATTCATACTTGGCACCAGCCACGGCATTAAATCACAACCATCTCTTCAAGCTTCTGTCAGCACTGCCCAAAAAGGACCGACCGGAGAGGCCTCCCTCTCACCCTTCTCTCGCCTCTGCCCTCCCAGGCCTAGTTTACTCCTATTAGGTATTAGGTTGTTGATCTAGGCTTACCTCACCTACTTAGGGGTTAAATCTGTTTTCCTGGGATCAGTATACAACCTATTAAGCATAGAAAAGCCTCTATCATGGCTTTTTAATGTATTTTCGCTCGCATCTAAAGAATAGTTTCAAAGAGACCGGTTTGTTTGAAATTTATATATTGTTTCCCAATCAGTACTGGACATTCCACCCTGATTTTTCTGGGGGCATCAGATTTTACTAACTTGAGAGGAAGACCCTTTTGAGGGGGCAGGAATTATGGTTGTGGCACAAATTGTAACTAGGTTCCTCCATTCCAAATGCAGGTTAAAGGTGCCTTGTAGAGCTTCTTGTATTCAACCAAAAGTTATGTTTATATTCAATGTTATTCACCAAAATGTATCCTTTAGTCTAATACATGTGATGAATGTATTTCCTTCCTCATAAGACATTTTAAAAGCCAATTTTTTAAAACTTTTATATCATTTACATCCATGTTTACTTGCTAGCAGTCTTCTTCCCTGCATTTGTTTGAACATTGCTGCTTTTCTTGGAGCATTACTGCAACCTGTTGATAGTTTGAAGTTCTTTATTTGTCATGTGCACAACAACCACATTGATGCAGGTGCTGGCGAAGGAATTCTTATTCTCAGGCCAACGTCACCCACGTGGGAGTGAATGAATACACGAAAAAGACAAAATGGGGACCCACTCATTACAAAAAGCTGACCCATCACGTAACTAGAGGTCAAAACTCCACAGGGAAGTTCTTACGAAGGTTTCTTGGTTTCTCAATAAGTTATGAAAAGAGGTAAATAAATGTATGCAATACTTAAAATTCACGGGTTAGGTCAAGGTTACAGAGAAGGCAAACAAACAAAAAAAATCTGCTGATGACAACTGTCAAAAGCTCCAGAACAAGCATGTAAGTGGACCTTGAATTGAGATAGTTTGTGGCACTGAGTTGTACTGACCTCAGCTAATAGAGCTAATAATACAGTCCTATTGAGTCTCAAAATGTCAATAACTGGTCACACGCTGTCGTACCTGCGACTTGTCTCCTCCCAGCACGTTGACCATGACCTCCATGACAGTCTCGTGCATTCCGAGCACTCTCATCAGATTGGGATGTTGATAAAAAACCTTGTTGTTCATAATGTCGCTGGGAACACAAGGAAAGTGATTTGTGAAGGTAATGATACATTAAAACTTTTTGAGGAAATATAAAGCATATCTTAAACACTGTTTGATATTGGAAATGTATCTAAGCAAGTAACAATGGACAATGAGAAACAACTGTATAATAATTATTAGTTTGATGTCAGTGCAATTATTGAGACAAATTTCTTACCCAAGCCCATCAATCATGAGTTTTTCCTCCTCCTTGCCCATGCGGACAGACAGCAAAGACCTAATCTGACCCAGAGATGCCAACAGGTTAATAGCATCCTGCACTGAGGCGGCACTGATGGTATAGGATTTCTTCATGGCCCGGAGCAGCTCTCCGATGCCGTCATACTGTCTCCTTAGCAGGCTGAACATCACCCTGACCAGCTGTGGGTCCTGGATGTGAGACTCCTGAGCCCAGCTGGTTATGGTCTGGGAGATCAGCTCCTTCAGGTTAGCTGGAGAAGTTCACCATGCAGTGAATATTGGTACAAAGGTAGTAAAAAATTCAAACCTTCCTCCAGACACAAAGCAAAACTTTAATTTAAGTATTTTTTTTAACCTGGTTGTTATTTTCCCATGTTTTTGTGTCCAAGTGACTAATGGGGACAACAATTTATGAAATTGGTCCAGTATTGAGCGAGAGGGTTGCAGCCAGCAGACGTGAAACTGGCTGCAACGTAATCCATACGGGCAATTGTGCAGTGTCAATGCACGTCTAATAAAGTGTTTGCTTTTGCCACTGATTGATTAAGCTTGCAATAACTGACTGACAGGGGTAGTAGAAATAAGTTATAAACAATATCATTATATCATCACTGCCTATGCTAATTTGTTGCTTATTTATGCATCCAGCAGTTACAGATGTTACAAACATTATCATTCATTTCACATAAGTCTCTACCAAGTCCAGAGGGAAATCTCTGGCTCTTTAGCTGCTAAAGTAGAGCATTTAGCAGCTAAAGTGCCAGAGATTTCCCTATGTTCTATGTTGACGAGCTAGTTAATATTTTTATGCATTATGACTTTAACTGTTACCTTAGAATAGAATTTCAGAAATACTGACATGGAAAGTTGTTGAATTCAGCCTTTTTTTAAAAATGTAGGTAGATAAAGCAGCTGCATCCTGTCCATGTCAACTGGAACTAATTGGAGACAGCACACAGTACCTCTAGTCAATTGTTCTCTGTACCTCTGCCCTTACACTTTCTTATAATATCGTGGTGTGCAGAAAATGTGCCAAATTTATAACAGGTGTACTGTCGTATAAGCAGAATAAATGCTTTTGGGCTTGCAGTCCTATTGCGTTGATATTTATCGTATACGTCAAGGATCTGTGGCTGGGTTATTTTATCCTATGCATGAATCAAGGGAAAACACAGATACACACCCAAATACACATACATAAGGAAAACCACAGATTTTAGAGGACTATAAAAGGATAACACCTGTGGATATGGAATTACTATGTGGAATAACAGACTCTCTTTCCAAAACCAGCATGTATTTTTTAGAATGCAAAGTCTAGCAACCAGATTATTTTTATATATGAAAACAAAATGCTGAGGCAGGCTCACACTGTATAAGCACCATGTGCTGCATCAGGAATGTAATTTTTACATTTTTAAACAATGGTTTACAGTATTTTAGCTCATTCTTAATAGGAAAACAATATTGTTATATTATTTTATCTCACTGTTTGGTGACACCGCCAACACAAGTCTATGTATGAATTTCATTTCAGTATTTAGTATTATTTTAAATTGTATTGTATTGTATTGTATTGTATAACTGCTTTATTTTTCTTTTGCCTATTGTAGTTTATAAGTTTCAACATACATACTTTATTGGCAATGAATTTGGTTAGGTCTGATATATACTGAAGTTTTGCAGTCTTTTGATTTGGTATATGTGTATTCTGTTAATCTGTTTAGAAGTGAAAAGTAACTGTTTGCATTGTAGGAAAAAATGACGTAATTCATCTGGCACTCTCAGCATTGAGTTTAAAACATCATACAAGCTTTTGCTGCTAGTGGATGATTTGATCAGAAGCCTTAGTGAAGCTTGTTGGCTGTCAGAGGCGCTGTTATTATGTTCATATTTTTACATTTAAGGCATTTACCAAACAATCTGAAATGATGTGTGTAATGTGTGAAAGGTGGAAAAAAGCTTAAATGTATGCATCATCACATGAAGAGCATCTAATAAGGTGCTCAAGAGGTATGTATTTTGACACAGGGTGTCTCAGTTGAGCATGTATACATGTCAAACTGTGATGTTGCATGTACAATATGAGTCTGTAAATCTCAGGCACTCTAAATTGACTCTATTTGTGTTAACTATGCTGTGCTAATTATTTGTATTGCTCCCTTGTCCCCGCCTTAACCCAACGATGCAAAACACACTCATCCTCATAAAATCTCGATAGCACAAACAATATTCACTCATGAGTTGAGCAAACCTTGGCTCTAAATGTTTGGATTCAAAGATAACGATTGATTTTTTTTAAACAAAATGCAGTTACTAAAATATCTACTACTCTCAACTTGTTTCTTCCTGCAGTAAATTGACTTATAAAAGGTTGGGCTATAATTAACTATTGTTTGTCCTTCAAACATTTCACCCCAGAGGGGAGTACCTTCGAGGAAAATGCCTGAAATTGTTTCCAAGGACTGTTGAGAAATAGTTGTGGGCTGTGTTCCCCAGGCACCTCAAAAAGGTTTTTCATTAAACAGGAATAATGTGGCTCTACCTCATGCATTTCATGCAGATTCACAGTAGAGCACAAAATACAATATAAATATATAGAGATGAACTGTAACTCTTACGGTAAAAGTAGTGTAAAAGGGGGTAAAGTCTGGGTGATACTTTGTACCTTATTTTAAGGTTTCATCCAACTTTAATCTTACAGACAAGCAACAATAAAATGACTACAGAGAAACTCAGTGACCTGTAGTGATAAATGTAGAAGCTGTAGCCAAACACTGCACATCTCCAAATGATAACATCATTATTCCAAAGCTATCGCTGAACTTTGAGTGTTTAAGTCAAACAGCCCAACATCTGTAGCAAACAAAGGGGCTGTTTCAAGCAGAATCCTAATGAGAGACGAGACAGATACAAAGAGAGAGAGGAAGCCAGCTGCCCTGAAGGTGAATGTCTCACAGATTCACATCTGCTCTGCATCCTCTTAAACAGTAGATCACATGGGAGTCATTAAAAACACAAAAAACTACCTTGTCTGCAAGCTAATCTGCAAATGACCACAAACAGTCAGCATGGTGTCATTTATAAAAAAATTTCTGAAACGATTTTAAACTAATTAGTACAATCTTTATACGTCAAGATGTATTCACAGTGTATTTGAAGTAGATGTGGAATGATAATAGCTTTTATGTAATGGTATAAATGAAATCCACTATTTTATCTTGCAACAGTGTACTTCCACAACCCACAAAGCTTCATCTTGTTAACTGTATTGAGATTATCCTGGTTCTTTTTCTAGATTAAGGAATGAGTCATAATGAGTCTGTTTTAGATAGAAATTATCAACTTTTTTTTCTTTTTCGTAATACTGAATGATGAAATTTAATTTTTAATTTAATTTAAAAGCCTTCCAAAAAGTGCACTGACTGATTCTGTGTGCTTTGAATATACAATAAAATACATAATACTAAATGTACAGATTAGACATGAGTATAACATTTACATGTTTAAAACATGACAAGATAATAGACTGGAAGAGGAGCAGCTTGTTTCCTCACCCATCATTTAACACGCCTATTTCAATACAATCTTAATATGATGTAGAAAAGGTAGTGCAGGTCTATCAAAATCATCTTCAATCACATCATCTGTCCACTTATGAAGCTTTTCAATAATGCAGGCTAGGTGTGGGAGGCTGAAGTAAGGCATTAAAATTTATAGCAGGGAGTCTTGCAGTGGCTGTCCATTAGTCTTCTATTATTTGAAACAGAACATAACCATGCTTTAAGCAATGGGCAGCAGAGAAGAATATTGAAAGCACTGACCCCAGGTTGAAGCAAAGAAATTGTTATACTAGTAGCCGGGCAGTGTCTTATGTTCTGTATCATTTATGATTGATAAATCTCTACCTATTCGCCATTTCGTTTTTTTCAATGAATTAAAGTTAATCTGTTTCTGCATCTGATCTGTTTTTTTTTTTAAGAATCAATGAGATTATTAGTGCTTTTTCCTTTTTGCTGTTTAAAGTTACTTACTGGGGGCAGCCTGTTCCTTCTCTGTGGGTTCCTCCTCTGTCTTCTGAGGAGGACCTTTGATTTTGTAGAGTAAAGCAAGGAGACGGCCTTTTATCGAAGTGTCTTGCTCTTCCTCTTCCTCCTCCACGGGAATTCCTGCAAGGGGAAACACCTTTCCGACACTCAGAATTTCAACATTTTGCATCAAGTGCTTATATGTGCACCGTGGTACTCTCCTTCAAGTTCAACTAATGTTTAAAAGGGCTTTGATGTAAGTATCGGTTAAGGACACAAATATTTCTGGCTTTGGTATTAATTCTGATATCAGATCAGGCCAAAGGTCAATGACTGGTAGCCTCCGTTTCACAAGTGACCATATGGACGAGTGCTTGTGATTTTACAATCACACCCCAACAACCACTGCTTTGTTTTATTTAGTCAAAGGTCAAGAATAATCTATTTGTATAAAAAATACCTTCACCAAGCCTGAAGTTGAACATCTATGATGCAAAATCAACAATATGTGTAAAAGAACTGAGAGAGAAGTTGGACTCTACCACAGTGCAGTCGCAATTCTTCATGGAAGTAGTTGAGTTCTTCCTGGATCTCCTCAGGACAGGGGCAGTCCTCCCCTGCACTGAAATTCAACAGGATGTTAATCTGCAGGAAACAGACAAATAGAACAATAAGGTTAGAAGAGCAGAGAGTGGGGAAGGGAATATAAAAAAATGTTTTAGAGAGTAGGAGGGATGAGGAAAAGGCGAGACAAATAAGCAAATAAGCACACAGGGGAAAGAAGAATGTGAAAGAATGAATAAAAAGAGGATTGGCATACAGAGAGGATAGCACCATTATTATTCTGAGTCACATTCAACAGCAGAATTACTCATTTAGTCTCTTGCAGTGAGTGCTCACATGGGCTTCTCGATAGTATTTGTCTGATCAATGCAGAGAAATAGTCTAGAGCATTTTACATCCAGTTAAGTGATGATTGTGAAAAATTAAAACATATAAAGTATTTTTTGCTTAGACAACTTAGAAATTGCTTTAATGATGAATTACCCTAAATAGTTATAAATCCGCTGTGCTTGCTGTATGTCACAAGCTAACTATAAAACAAACTAAATATACATGAGATGCTTCCTCGGGCAGAGCAAATGCAGAGTCCAGTTTAGGCGATTCTGATGTCTATTTTTGGCAGGGCTTTTTAATAAACCATGGGAGGAACAGACAGCAATCTTGGATCCTGCTGCTGACCACTACACTACTCATTTCTCAGGGATCAGAGTGTAGCTGTAAGGCTGTGCTTATTTACATGGCTTTTGCAGCACAGAGGAAGTGCATTTAAGCATTCTGAAAAGAGAAAGCTTTGCAGTCGTGCAGATCTAAACTTTTGGCTCACTGCTGTCTTATATGCAAGAACTCAACTGATCTGAACACAAACATATAAGAAAACGACTGAAAGGATTTTCTGTCTACTGGGCAGGAAGAATAATGTTGTACCTCTCTCTGCCTCTCTACTTTGGCTCTGAGACACACTGAAAGAGAAACTGATGTTAAATGGAGCCTCATTAGGGACAAGGATCTGAGCCCCTGGCACGTCGGTGTGCTGACGCAGTTATTACACACTGAGCTGAAAGACACTGAAAGCATGTGATGTAAGGACAGCACAACCGAGATCCATTAACATGCTTTAGTTTGTGTTACAGTGAGCCACTAAGCAGCATGATCGAATACTAAATCACAGGGTCTCAAAAAATGCTTTAACTGCTATTATCTACACTTTTTATATTTTAAACCATAAACACAGAGTTTTTAAAAGGTGATCAGAGGAATCCATTTATTTTGAAAATCTTAACACTTAAATTATAACATGAATGCGAGTTGGTCCAACCATTCCCATATCTCTAGTATTTACAGTACATACACGTGACTATAGCTGCACGATATCCACCAATATTAGCTTATTCATCACAATAATGAGTCAATCCCAATTTTTGGTCCTAATGAAGAGTAGCCGTTACCAGAGTAACAAATGTGGACCCAAATAAACAATAACAGTTACACAGTCTGCCCCCAGACTGACCATTGCTCTGATGGCAATGAAACCTGAGTCTGACCTCTCAAAAGTTAAAAAGGCCGATTGCTTCAACATGTGTTGTGAGAGCAAATAAACCCTCAGGAGGGTATTTTGGTCTGAAAGGTTCAGATAGCACAGACTGCTCTGTCTGCTGGTTTGATTTAAGTTTCCTAGTAGCATCTATGCTCTGTTCAAATAGGTGTTTTTATAAATTTAGCAGATTTGACTTTTCGTTTTTTATACTTGTTTGAGCTTTATTATTCTGTTTTTCTGAACAACCTGCACTGAACCTTGCAAACAATCTCAAGGCTAACCTACAAGTTAGTGGATTGAGGCGGTTTCTAAAGTTCACAATGCATCCTGAGCTATGAACTTACTAAGAAGTTGAATACAGTATAATGTAAATTCTCCCTTTGGGACTAATAATAATTTTCTGCTCGTAAATGCCAACCATTTAACTTTCAGTGCACAGACTCACTTCAACTTCAATTTAGCCTCACATATGGCCCAATTTACCCATTGGGAATACCAGCTGAAAATACAGATAGGAAACATTCGATAGCTAAAAGGCTCTCAGAGAACTCCAAAAGCCAGCGCTCCAGTCTCTGCATCAGACTTTGTTCCAGTCAAGTCATTAATTTTTTTGCACCCCAAGGCTCAATTGATCATTCTGTGGTTTTGTTCCAATATAATACCTTAAACAACCTTGAACATAAATTACATCTCAAACAGGATGTAAACAATTTCTCATTCGCTGTTTGGTCCATTGCAGCAGAGACCTGCACCAGTATGGGTAAAACTAAACGCGTGCGGGCAGCTGGTTAGAATCAAAATGTGTTTTTTTTTTTGTAAAGAAATTAGAAAATGAAAATGACTGTGTAGTCTTTAACGTTTACATCAGTTAAATATCAGCCACCAAGATTTTCTTTTATTGTGAAAGCTGCAAGCTTGCACATCCTCTGAGGAAACTGCAGTTGCAGCAGGAGCACAGGTGCAGCGCAAGTTAACAGAAACTTTTCCTATAACACAACTCTCAGACCACCAAACCGCTGTAAAGTTTGTACGCCGAGACATATCAACCTGTGTGTAGAGAGTGATTCAGCGAACTGACAGTGCTTAATTGACATCAGTGCCCTGCTGATTGTTTGGACGCAGCAGCAGCAGCATTGTGAGTAGCAACAGTTGGTGACTTTCTACATGTAACATTTATAATTGTACAAGTTAAAATATGACTGTGTGTGTAGCATGCACCACGGGTCGGATCGCAGGTCTTATATTAAAGGGTCGGGTCGGGATTTGACTTGGGGATAATTGCGGGTAACAGGTTGGTTCTGGTTCTGAGCTCTGCGGGTGCGGGAGGATGCAGGTTTGCAAAACTGGACCCATGCAGGACTCATGCATTGTAGTATTGTACCTGCTCATGTGGGGGTGAACGGAACTCTTTAGTCTTCTTGGCAGTGACGGCGGCGGACATGTTGAGCGCCAGCATCAGCTCATTGTAGCGGAACTTCTGGTTGAACTGCAGCTTGGACACAAAGCTGTCTGAGAAGGAGACGATGGCTTCGATGCGGTGCTTCAGCTCACAGTCACAGAAGTAGTGCAGCAACTCACACATCTAAAAAGAATGAAGAATCCCATTCAAAGATATTAATTTAACAGGAATGACAATCAAGTGTGCATTTAGAGGTAAAGGTTTCTCTTTCTGTCTGTGTCTGTATTGTTTGATGTGGTTTTTGACTAAGATAATTTTTATATCAACTGATTGAATGTGTTTTGTTACTTAAACAGAGAGAAACCTAAGATATAATTGCCATTTCCAAGAGATGATCTGCCTCCATCACCATAATGCAAAGATTAAAGCTGTGTTTGAGTGTGAACAGTATTCTGGACTTTTTGTCATTGACAGGAACATTGGTATTCAACCACTGCCTTCTTTAGCACACATGCAGTCACTTCTCAGTAAGAGATAAATCACAAAAGCTCAGTATCGCTGTCAAATGAGAAATTAGTGTATCAAATCAGATAAAGGCAAATAAGATGGGCAAAATTAAAATTTAATTAAAACCTTGGCATATAAATTGATGGACTTTTTTTGAGTATTTGCAATCTCACATTCAAACTTGAAATGTATGAGCATGTTTTATAATCATTTTCATCACCTGTTGTTTGACAGACTCGGGCAGTGACTTCTCCAGGAGACCTTTGACGGGCGGTTTACTCTCCTTTGTCTCCTCCTCTCCCGCCTCCACGGCCTTCTCCTCGTTCTTGCTCACCTCCTCCTTCTCCCCTGCCACAGCCACTTCATGCCCCTTGACCTCCTCACCCTCCTTGGCCTCTCCAAACACGTTGGGATCAATCAGGAGGAGAATCAGTCTCACCTCATCACTGGTTAGGACTCCCATGATCAACAGTGTTCCAATCAGCTTCAGAATGGGGACGAACTGGTACTCTACACTGCCGCCTACCGGATCTCGGATGTGTAAGCCTCCGCCCTGCACGGCCTCAGAGAGCATGCTGATGGCTTTCTCTTTCAGGATGCCCAGAGGGATCTGGGGGCTGTATAGGTACTGTTGGCGCTTTGTGCTGATGATGCCAACGGGGGAGAAGTTGACCCGAGGTGTGAGGGAGGTGCTCAGGCCCACACCAGGCAGCGAGTGCCGCTTGGACTCGTCGGGGAACAGCTTGATGGAGCGAGTCTCCTCCGTCACAGGGATAATGAACTCGTTGTTCATCATTAGGCGAGCCTCTTTTGCTGTCTCAAGATGGATGCTGGCAATGAGGAGAAGAATCAGTTCAATCATTGCACACCTAGTGGCACTGGCCATTACGCTTATCAGGAAATAACCATTCAGAATTCTGGGTCTAGGTTTAAAAATATCTTTCCCAAGTTGTATAAATGTGAAACTGGTAAAGATTTCTACAGCCCTACAGCACAAAATTACCATAATATATCTGTTGGAGGTGACAGGGTTATTGATCAATAACAATGACTCAGCAATTACCTGACTAGATGCTGAGACTCTTTGTTGCTCATAGTCACAGTTTAAAAAACAAAACTCCCCACCCACTGATGTGTTAACACCATCCACATAAAATTGCATTTTCAGTGATAACAGAGGTAAGCATGATGTCTTGAAAGTAGCAGGTTGACATTATTATTCCATGACTTATCCCAATCCTCTGTCTGTGTGGTTGAGAATTTATTGAATTTATTGACTGAAAAAAGAGATTGAATTACACTGGATTGTGTGCAGGCAATACAAATACGTCACAGAGCTATCATTAAGATTTATCATGACAAATTTACTTTGTGGTCTTGTGTGCTGCTCCATCACTTTAACAGTTAATGGTGCTGGAGGTGAAGTTGTGATAAGTTATCATTCTATCATTGATGAGTACAAATATTGCTTTTTTTCTTTTCTGTGCATGAAAGTTGAGGTTGTTAACTTTTAACACTATTGTAGACTTTCATTTAGTATCACTGACAGCAGCATTTATTATATTTCTCAAAACCATTTCTATCTCAAATACAGACAAAAAAATCCAATTTGTCAATTTGCAAAACTGCAGGAAGGAAAAGATGAAAAATAAAGAAAAAACTATGAAAAACAAGATAAGCAATTACAATTTTAAGTTCATATCTGATTATGTTACATTTAAACCAACCTGATGAGGACATTGTAGAAGCCCTCTCTCAGCATGCCAGACAGATACTGGTTGTCGATGGTGTAGAGGAGCTGTGATTGGTCCAAGTGGCTGCAGAGGGCATGGGCAACGCGGGTGTTTCCCAGTGCACAGAGGGCACAGTACAGCTTCAGTGTGTGGTAGTGGAACTTTCTCAGGTCTTCATGCTCAGATAACTCCAGGATGTCCAGACATCTAGAAAAGAATAGTGTAATCGAGAACCATGGGGTCATTTACTGTTGAACAATATATACAAGGTGGCAAACTAGACAATCATTTTTTACCAATTGAACTACTCACCAAAAGAGACAAAGATTGAATTTGACAATACTTGCACCAACAACCCCAATTTGTGTGAGGGAGAGACTATTAATCATCTCAACTAGGATGTTACATTGTGTGATTACAATGTACTCAATTAACTACTTTTCAATAGTAATGCACATTAGATGTCATAATCACTTGCTCAAAGGATTAAAACAGCAATAAAGCACCTGGCATGGCTCTCGTATGACTGAGCTGACTGTTTGTGTTTCTAGACGATGAAAACACAACATAACATTGTGGGATTGAACCAGTCACATACTGCATCTGAAGGTGTTAACAGTGTATGTTCTAAGTCTACATCACATCACATGTTGCAGACCTGTTCTCCTCAGGTATATGTACTGCCATCATCTGCAACGGTTCCAGACACTGGACCACCCAGCCGTGTCTCTCGCTGACCCGGGCAGTCTCCACGTTGAGGAAGGTGTTTGGCATCCGGCTCCACAGCACGGCCACAATGGTCTGCACATCCAGTCGTGGCGGGCACTGCGGCACCGGGTTCCTGTGCTCACTCTTAAATATGGCAGATGAGAGTGGCATTGCATCCTGGGAGCACAGGGAGAGGATGGGAAGTAATGTGAAAGAGGAAAGATAATTTTTGTTGAAGGACAACAATTCTAACAATTATATGTGTTGTGTGCTTTTGGTTTAAATATTACACTTTCTTGAATAAACATTTAGATTCTAAAAACATTTATCGGTTATTTAAATATGTGTTGCCTGAGGGGTCCTTAAGCAAAATAAAGTTTAACTTAATTTATATTTTCATCCGTAATTATTATCCTTAGATCATCCCAAGTAGTGTGTATATATAAAAACATAATGTATTTACTTTTAGTTTAATTCTAACTGCAACTAGTTAAGGTGCAGACATAAGAGCTTAATACTTATTTAATGACAGAAGACAACCTCCAATATGGATCACAGAGATATAATATGGGTCTGTTGACCAGTGTGCAATTATTTAAGAGCAAGTGAAACCTCATGCATAATTGTTTTAAATACACTGTATGATGGGGATAATGTAAATGAGGTTAGATGTACCATGGTACTAGTTAATGAGAGATAAATACAATACCAATATTTACCATTACACACCGTATATTGTTCATTGCATATTGTTATTATTTGAAAGGAGACAAACCTTGATCTTGACAAATTCCAACTGGAAGAGGTTTGCACTGGTAGGGCGTACAAACACAGCTGGGAACAGCTTGGTATTTGGTTCAACCTGAAAATAAACAAAGCTCAGTCATCGACATAGACAGGATAGGCACTATAATGCACCAAAATAATACAAAAGTGCTGAAAATCTGCATAATGGAGATTCACTCAAAACCGTCGGTAATTCTTATTGTGCTCTTCTAGTGTCTGTTCTGGTGGCAATTTCAGCAAATGTCAGAGGGCTTTTAACCTCTAAACCCAGATTAGCTGGTGTTTTAAATCAGAGTTCAATACATATCGGTTGGCATATTGATGACAGCCATCAGAGACAAAAGACAAATACAAAGAGAGGAAAAGCAACCACAGCTCTGAAGCTGTAATGGGATAGGAAGCTTTTCATCAAGTTAAAAGCCCCTTGATTCCCTCAGAAGGCTTCTCCTTTCAAAAATGCCAATTCACGACTAACTCAAGGAGTGGGAAGAAAAAAAAAAGAAAAACGGGAGACAGTAACAGAGATAAAGATGAGAAACAAGACTTGGGTGATAAAAGCTTCTCACAGAATCATTTTGATGGCTAGTCAGGTATTCAATATGATGCATTAAAAACCTGAGATCAGCGAGGCGAGGCGAGGATTACTGAGCAGATGTCTGCCTTTGTTAAGACTACGCTATTGAAAACGGATGAGAATTCAGCTGTATAATTTCCTAACTGCCCTTCTGCAGGTCTAATTTACTGCAGTGCAAATTTGTTTACGTTACCGGAAGGAAAGCTAGAAGGGAAGATCTTTTGAGTGTGTGCAGGCAATACAAATATGTCTGAGTGCCATTATACCACAGATGTATTACGACAAAAAAGTTTTCAATCACTGAATGTAATGGTTATGAAGCTGAGTAGTAACCCAAAATACTGTATATTTACCACAGGAGAAAAAATAACGACATACACATGCTGAATTTTATGAGGCAGCCTGTCCTTGTAAGTTAGTCCTCTGCGCCCCACTACTGTGCTATTATTCTTATTTACCTGATATGTTGTGGACAGCTCCTTGCCGTTGGCAGTGAAAGAGACGAGGCCAGTGGCCAGGTCGATCAGACAGCCGATCTCCAGGTCAGAGTTGGAGCGGCTGGAGGTAGATGGGCCGACTGCATCTGCTCCGCACACCATGTAACAGTTACTCCTTTGGACACTGTGGCAACAAAAGCAGAAAATGAGCTTGTCATGCATAACTCCACATGAATGTAAACACCTACTTTTTAAAATGTGAAAATGTTTTATTTGCCCTTCTAATGTCAAGAAATACTGCAAATCAGATCTGGTATGAGCATCTCACCTAATGTGCAATGTAAAGTAATTTAGAAGTGTGTGAGGATGCTCTTTTACTTTAAGGAATTCTAATAAAATCTAAGTTGTTGACAACAATTATGTCACAACATAAGAAAAGATGTCATTAACCTAAACTAACTTTTAAAACTGTATTTGTCGTTTTAGCTGGCAATGTTTGTTTTTTTTCTTTGACAGTAATTTGCTAATTGGACAGAGCTGTAACATACCAAATGTAGAAGTTAATTTCCAAAATACTTTCCTTGCAATAGTTTTGGGGTTTGTAGTATAGTATCTCATTCTCATCGATTCATGTTTCAGCTTCTTACATTCTCTTGCAACACCCAACTCTACCCTATTATAATGGATCAACTAAATGAATTTCACTTTGTACTTTAGCATACATACATAATGTGTGGTAGTGGTAAATTAAAAAGTGATACAAGGGAATAGAAAAGGTATTGTAAGGAAACTACATTTATCACAAGAAAATACTTTTCTCATAGTGTCCTTAGGGGCTCTGTATAGGACAGGATTCACACTGTGGCCCAGCCAGATTTCCTCGGAGAACCCAGCAGATCTGCTGACTCTCCCTGTCTATATTACACCTATCTATGTTTCATGATATTCTATAAACTCTGGATATTAAAAAAGCAGGGAACTCGCCTCTCATGGACCCGGCCCCTCTCATCCCCCAGGGTGACGGTGACTGTTTGCGTCTTGCTGAGGCTGAAGTTCTTGCTATGGTAATGATAGTCCGGTGAGACCCAGCCCACCCACACTGACGCAGGGTCCTGTCCAGCGAACACTCTCACTGAGTGGTAATACTGCCATAAAATATACACAGCACAATTGGTTACACTTAGTGAGTACAGAGCTGAGAGCATTACAATATTTTTCAGATTCCGAGTGTATCTTTGAGAATTTGGGTTGATTTACAGTTGTGATGCTTCCATAGTCAACAGTTCCATCTTCTTTTGGAGGATGGCTGCAGAGACAAAAACACAGCAGCAGGTTATAAGAGCAACAGAGGGATCTTGGAAAAACTCATCTTTCTTTTTTTTTGTATTGCAGTTGCCAAGCACAGTTCAAAAAGACAATTCCACTCCTGCTCCTTCATAATTATATTTTTCATTTTCATCATAACAGTGCTCCCCACTGCTGTTCCAGCATCTGACCTGAGTTTCAATGATTCATCAAGCAACTTGTCTACAGAGTAAAACTCCACAGGCATGCTCAGTCTACAGTAGACCATGTCATTGTTGCTGTTCTGTGTGCCAAACGTCTTGTGGGTGACCTTGAGGCAGGGAGGGCTGTCTACCGTTCCGTCAATCCTTGTCACCTGAAGAGTCAAAATCCAAAGAAGAAAAATCGCTACACATCAATCTGTCCATCACCACCAGCAGCACCATTCATTATAAGTACATTTATATGCATAAAATGAGATAGAAACTACCCGAACTGTAATCACAGTCTTCTATAGATGATACTGGTAACATGCAGTTTTAAAAACTAGTGACTGAGAATCCCCGTTGCTATAAACGTAAGAGCAGAACATTGCTTATAACAATGAAAATTATTCCTTACCTCGATATGCATGTGGTCCTGGGGCACGTTGACAAAAGTGGGAAGGCGCTTGCTGAACCACATGGTGATCTCTCTTTTCATGTTGACAGCGAAGGGCTCAAAGCCTTCCTGGAGACCACACATGGTGTAGTACTTGAAAGTGCTGGCATCCTTGCCCAAGTTCATATGTCCAATCTGAGACATGCCCAGACTGCACACAGGGATGAAACCTGGAGGAGGGTTAAGGGACATTGATGGGTCTGCGGGGCCAATACTGGTCACTTCCAAAAGTGTTAAATATCATCCAGTCATGCCATCCCTTGTTGCAATGTGAGAAGGTCCTCCCTGAACAAAGCTGAAGAACCTTACTTTGCAGATTTAATTAAAAAGTAACTCCGATGTTTCCCTATCACTAATGATGTGATCCGTCTCTCTGACCTTGAGAGCTACATTTAATTAGTGTGGTGGCTTTATAACCCTGCATAAAAAGACATCTTGGGACATACAAAATTAGGAATGTGTTATTTATTAGTAGTAATTATGAAACTTAACCTAAACTTAATCTTCATTTGCCTTGGAAAACTCATATCAATGTACAGACATGTATGCAAGTATACATACATTATTTAACTGTATTCCACTACACTGAGATTTTTTCCTATCTTGATGGTTCATTTACAGAGTAATGGGCAAATGCCACAATGGACTTCATTAAATTGCAACATCATTAGCATTTTGTACTGTTCTTTTTGTTTTCCTCATGCTATCTGCTAAACAAAAACAGTCATACCCCTAGAGATACTGAGGAAGAAACACAAGCAGAATAAATTAATGAATTAGCACTAAAGTTCACTGGGGTATGGAGCCCTCACCGTCCTCTGTCTCAAAGTCAGTGAAGCAAAGCTCAGAGCCCTTGCCGGTGATCAGGAGTTCTCCGTTCAGGGTGAATATCATGGATTTGTCCTCCATGTTGATCATGCAACCGACCACATCACCCTTTTTCCAAGGATGTCCAAAGTAGCGGCTGCCTGCATGCATCCGTCGACCCTTAGGAACAAAGACAAAGCTTGAGGTTTTTGCATGGTATGTAATATGATGATGCCAGTAAAACCTATGATAAAAGTAATTCTTCTGTACAAGCTGCCAAAATATTGCCAAATGAATCAATGGCAATATCTTGAATGCTAATAAAAACATTTTCTAAAAGGAAGCCAAAAAATGGTCATGAACAATCTATATCTTTAAACTTTATTTTCTCTATCTATTTCTGAATCTAAAATTCACCTTATATTATACTGATTCATAATTAGTATTGCACTATCCACAAAATCTAAAATTATAAAATGATGTCCTTTCAAACTCAAAAGTTTTCAAATAACTTGTTGCCTGGCCAATCGTCTTCCCTTCTATTAAAAGTACAGCTATAATGCAGCAAGGATAGAAAAACTATTGCTGCTGCTGAAGTAAAAAAAAGACAATATATCCTAAAAGAGCTGGTTTACCTTGTATCCGTCGAAGACGAAGGCCTGGTCATCCCCTCCAAGTTCCACATCGGGTCTGCAGGCTGGTCTGGCCCAGCCAACCCTCATATCGCCTCCACTCAGGGCCTCGAACTCAAAGTACCACTTTCCTGTCTTCACCGCATATGTCTGCTCCACACGGAAGAGTCGGATGGTCTCGATGTTCTGATCATCAAACACATGGGCAGCTAAGAATAGATAGAGACATGAAAAAGTGATGCTTGCCAACTTGACAGGTAGATTAAAAAACAAGTGACACCAATAGAATATGTAATTTAGGCAGCATTTTCAGCATTAGTATCAAATTATACAATTACAGGCCAACTGATTAAAGATATTGGCTATGCCACTAAATCTGAAAATATGGCATGCACTAGTATAATACTATAATAATTAATAATAATAATAATAATAATAATAATAATAATAATAATAATAATAATATACCAGCAAACATCTTGATATAGAATATATTTCAACATACTGGCATGTAACAATTTGGAAAACTGTGGTGTTAAAATGCCAAAAGAAACTGGACAACATACAGTACTGCTTTTGTCCATAGCTGCTGGCTTCACGACAGTTTTCATTGCTGTTTTAATAAAAACATTATTAGCCAAAATATCCCACTGTGAATACTATTTTCTTACTGTGTGGAGGTGACACTGGAGCTGCATGTTATGTAGGATTTGTACTTAATTCTACACAACACCACTCCTAAATATTAACTGGAATCAAGCCATGCTTGCAAATGATTATACTTTATCTTCTGGCCTAAAACACTCAATCTGCCCCTTTTTTTTTACCTACTGTAACCAAAAAACATTAAACCAGGAAGTTTAAGGTTTTGTGAGACAGCAACATGTTCTCACCCTCCTGGTCTGGGGGGTCGATGTCATATCCATATCCAACCATGGTCCTGATGGCCTCTCTCAGACTGTCTCTATTAGATTTCTTAGTGCGCTCGTCCAGTAAAGCATATGGCACCAGGCGAGGATTACGCCTGCTCTTCAAATCCTGACACAAACAAGAAAAATGCGCCAAACAATTAATGTCGCTTATATTTTAAAAATCTCTAATGAAATGCCTTTATTATTAGCTACTAACTATACTTAAAATGAAAGACCAGGCCATTGTACTGCCAGTTCCTTTCTGAATGGAAAGAAAAATGACTTGTACCTGCTGGATGCCATAGGTCCATCCTTGTTTAATTCTGTCTTTGGCCCACACATTGTGTGCATTCTCGGCCAGTTTATCAACTAGAACCTCCTGACCTGCAGTCAGTTTCACGTCAGAGAGATCCAGCGGCGCAGGCTTATAACCATTAGACATCATGTAGCTGCAGAAGAAACAACAAAGGCAAAGATCTTTGTAAATAACAAAAACGCTGCAGTGACTTTGGCAGCATGTTTTTTATAATGGTTCAGACAGTCGACTTTAAAACAGTAACAATTACATAAAAATCAAAGAAAGGAACAATGTCTTTGTCACCTATGTCAACTCTCTGTTTTCCAAAAAAAAAGGAATTAAATAAATATATGTATTAATGACTCTTCTTCTTTCTTACAAGATGTAAACTGCTATCATTGTCAGCAAACCAATCATATGGTTACAAACACATCCCATAACATGTAGATGACTTCAAAAGGATCATTTTATGTAACATAGCGTGAAATGCTGTTTTTCTTGATATTCAAGAAACAGAAGCTGTAATAAGATTTAAAAAAAAATTGCTAACTTACTCTTTGGGAAGTTTGATTTTCTTCAGATCGTCCTCAGCGTGAACATTGACCTGGGCAACATGGCATCCAAGAGCCAACAAAGTCCTGAGGATAAAAGAGAAATTTAAAACAGAAAGAGACATAAAGACCATAACTGATATCAATACTCAAGCCCCATTACACTTTGTTAGATGAATATGCTTCAGCCTTACACCAGCAGAAACCATCGAGAGACTATTACATTTTTTAACACAGCTCATTAGACATTTATAAATCCCAGTCGATCAATAGTTACACTGCAAATAGCAACAGTGTGTTGGCTGTATAGAGACAAGGCAGTCTGAGCCCCAATAGTATGTAATTGACAAACTGCATACCTGATTGAAGCTCACTATAACAGAAGATCGCTTTATAGAGCCAAGCCCAATGTTTTTACAGTGAGATGACTCAGTAGTTGGCTCAAATAAGCTTTGGAACCAAGATTTCTTCAAAATCAATACTGAAATTCACTCAGGAGATGCAAGTCATTACAAGCACTGCTTTAATCTGAGCCTTAATCTGCTCTCGCACAGCATTCAACAGAGAGCAGAGGCAATTCCATGAATAGGTAATTGGAATATTTAACAAGCTGCCCAGCCTTACTTCAGCGTTTCACTGGACATCTGCACGTTGTAGTTCCTTTCAGTTTCAGGCAGCTTGGCGAAATCCACAAGGCAAGGGTGCTGCCTCTTGTTGTCATCACGAATCTAGGGAGAAAGTAGTAGGGTGTCATTACTCTATGTTTCATTCCATAGCAACAAATATGGATTCTTTTTTTCTTTGTTTGGTCTATGAGCTTGTCTATCCATAACTGCAAAAACACCCCAGAGGAAAATATGATTAAGCGTGGCTCAGTAGTCTGAAAAGAAAAAAAACAAAACAAATGGACTGCAGCCGAATTTATCTGCTGTGGACGTTGGCAGATGCCTTTTTGTTTGTTTTCCACTTGGACTAATTCAAGCCTCAGGTGTTGATTTTTTTTAACGAAGCAGAGATAAGCCTGAATCAGCTCAAAGGAGGGGCTCAGCTGTTTGGGAGAGAGTCGACCAGGAGAAATTTACTGCTGTGCCCAGACTCTCAATAAGACGCTGCCAGTGACTCCTTTCTCTGATAGTCTTCTGTTGACAAAGGTTAAATATAACTAAGGTGCACAAAAGGTATCAGCAATACACAGTAAGGCCAAGCACTCTGATACAAAACAATGAAGCTGCACCCAACTTTATTATCATTCTGCCTGCCAAGTATCTGCTGCCTGTCTAAAGAGGCTTCTGTCCTGGATTCAGTGCAATGTCACTCTGAACTCAGTGAAGCTTGTTACAGCAAAATTAAATACCAAGCAGCTGTTTGGACCTAAATGTTGTCCTTAATAAACTGCAAGACCTGGGTTACCCCCCAGTGGAGCTTTCTCCCAGTCTTAATTAATGTGGATGTCATACTCTTGGAAGGTGAGACAGTCATTAAGTTTGTTAAACGCTGTGGCAATGTCCTCAGTGGGAAATGATTCTGTGATGACCACTACAGTACAAAAGAGGTAGCGTGTGCAATCTGACTTATAGCAGAATGTAATGAACATGCAGTGACTGTGAAGATGTTGTGAAGGCTAACTGCAGTTTTCCATTTCACCTTAAACTAAATGTTTGAGCATCCAACTGAAAAATAAACAGTTTCTCATCTGATAAAACATAAATCCAACCAGAATTTGCAAACTACAGTGCTGGTTGTAGTCTTTTCTAGTGCCTTTAAATTAATATTACAGGTTTAAAAAGGACCATATTTTTTATTTTAGATTACATTACTAAACTTTGATTATGACAAGGAGGTGAAAATGGTGTAAAATACAAGTACTTAAATACTTTAGACTACTTCAGTAAAATACTTTAGTTAAAATAAATACACAAGTTAGTTGTTGTTTTTTACCTTTACTCCACATTTTATTGAGTGAAGCCTGCTATGCTATGCTTGCGACAAGATGAATTTGTCCACTTTAAACTGTGTTAAATGGTGTCAGCAGAAACAACTGTTTTACACACAATATCCAGATGAAAGCTGGTTTAAATTGATCAGCACCTTTGACGGAAACTAGGTACTTTTGATACAAATCACTAAGATAAAAGACACTTTGATTGCTCTTTCTTCATCTGACCTCTTTACAAAAAGTTCTCTTAAGTAGGTAATGCTAATTCTTGTTTACTCTTACTAAGTAAAGCATGTGATATTTACTCCAGCACAGAGCATTTAACAGTCTTTCTGTAATTGTGTGTACTAATGCCGACATTAATAAACTGAGGCAGCAGCCATACCCAAACTGCTGTCATGTACTTCAGAAGGACAGAAATATTAGTGTTAATGGGCCATTAGCATGCATTTTATTGGGAGGGGCCTGAGTTGACCTTTATGTGTGTATCCAAACAGACCCAGGGTGTTTTTGTTTGTTAAATTTGATGATGGATAGCAGGTTTACCTTGCCATAGGTCCAGCCCAGTTCAATCTTGTTCATCCCCCACAGTTCATGGATGTTTTCTGCCAGCTTGTCCCGGACGTTGTCCAGGTGAGGAGGAAGAACGATCTGCAGAGAAAGAGGAGAGGGAGCAGATGGTATAGTCGGATGATAAAAAGATGCCTATGGGCCAACAAAACAGTTCTCTTTTTTTTTTTACCTGACCACGCAATTATTAGATTCCTGGGGACTGTAGAAACTCATTATTAAGTCTGCATTTATTTAGCCTTTGTGCTGCAGGGCCACTGCAGAATAACAGGTGTACAACACAAACTGAATATAAAAACATTTCTGAAATAACTACACGTTGGCTCCAGTTAGAATATGCTTTTTTTTCCTTTCTTTGCTGTATCTTTAATTTATTGAAATTTCCCTGGTGGTCCTATCCTCACCTGGCTGGTGTCAACAGGAGTGGGGATGAAGGAGGCCTGGGAGAGGAACTGGGTGGTTCCCAGCAGGTCACGGAGCCCCTCATGGTCCCTCTTGTACTCCTTCACAGGCTCTACATGCATCTTCTCTTTGGGCAACAGTGCCTCGTAGCACGGAGAGTAACCAGCGGGTGGCAGGAACTTGAAATCTCCGTGGCGTCCACCCAACAGGTAACGGACTCTGAGATGTGTATGTAATAATATAATATAACTCTTAACTTCACCAGGGGTATTGAAAGAGTTTCTTTTAGTTTTTCATTGACTTTTTCAACCAGCAATTTTCTTCTCAAATACAATTCAGCAAAAAGCACTGTGCACACACCCCTACCATTATCTAACAAAGTGGCATGCAGTGGAGAGTATAGCCACCCAAAGGCAAGGATTATCGACCTTCTCATAAATCTTTCGGCTATAAATTCATTTCGTAGTTAGTAACCCCTAGTATCAATATAATTAAAGTTTTAAGAAGTAGTAAGTAAGAAGTATTGATTCTTTTTTTCTTTGGTCATTTCAGTAATTTTTTTTTTATTTAAATCATTGCTTTATACATAAGATGGTTGTAGGCTGACGATCTGCAATTGCATCTCAAGTATAAAAACAGTCCCAGCTAAAAATAAAAACAAGCCCCTCTATTGGGAATACTTCTTCATCCCATTTCCTAATTTTAAATGCGGAGCCTTACTTGACACCTGCAGAGAAGCTGACAACAGGGAAGAAGAATCCATCGGTGTTGAAGTCCTCGAACATGCCCTGGACAGGCTGCCCGTTGATCCTGAAGGACATGCTGGGAGCGCCCAAATCCAGACAGCAGCTGACCACATCGTCTGAGTTCAGCAGGTGCTGGTTAATGGAGGCCACAGCCCTTGGGATTCGGCCTAGACAACACCAGGCGGAGACAGAGAGTGAGGATGGATGGCTGTTAGGGCTGCAAAGTCATTGCGAATGTAGGGCAGGATGATGGGCGAGGACAAGAGAGGGGAGCAGAGAGGTAGAGAAATGGGTGATGAGCGCTTTAAAAGGGGTGACATGAAATGGATGAGAGGAGGTGATGGGGCTTTTTAGTAGATTTTGAAGGGAAGAGAGGTCAAATAGGTGTTATGGCTTTAGGATGAGAGCAGAGAAGAGGGGGTATTGAAAAGTCTTAAAGCCCTAAAGCACCAAGCTGACTAGTTATTTCCTCTTATACAGACAGAGAACATACCTATAATCATCACCTTCAACTATGGGCTTTGCTGTGTGTTCAACTTGAAAGGAATGTGTATAAAAGGTTAAGGTGGACGTTGTGTGGTGGAATTTTAAATCACTGTCACTGTGCTCTGACTTTGTCCTTCACTATGTGGAAAATGAAAAGAGCAGCCTAGAGAGTGGACAGCAGGCTCCTGCATTATTCACAGTAAGTTCTGTTCAGGCAAAGACCTTCCAAGTCCACAAGACTTTTTACTTTTTGTATTGTGCATCATAACTGACTAAGAATTACTTCACTGCAATGGTGCAAATTAGTACCCAATAGATCCAGGTCAAAAATAACAGAACACACTTCTACTTGGAATTTACTTGGTTTGCAAAACAGGAAACTTCACAAAAGGGTCATATCACCGTCTAACGGAACATAAACCAGTGAGAAAAAAACTGGATTCATGTAGCACCTCACTGCTCATAGCAGATTTTAAAAATACGTTTGTAGGACCTTGAGTTAATTCAGTTAAGACCCATTCACACCTTGCATACTCCATAGAGGTAAAACACTACTGTAACTATTCTATTCAAAATGCATAAGACCAGTACTACTGGCTAGTCTTATATGCGCGCTTACCTGACCAGAGATGAAGTCCATCAAAGCTGTAAGAGTACAGGTCATCCCCGACACCGTTGCCACCCCATCCCTCTCCTCCCCCGGGGTAAGGAGCGTAGCCTTTAGTGTTGGCCCAGCCTACCCTCAGGTGGGTCGGCTCTCCGGTTACAAAGTGGTCAACCTGGTCAATCACCAGCTCAAAATACCACTTTTTATATTGAGCTGAACCTTCAGCCATGCCCAGGAAGATGTTTGGCCTCATACTGGAGGTGATAAGAGAGGAAGCTTCTATGACACAAAGCATGTTTAAGACTCAACTAGTAGTAATCAAAAAAGCCACACTTTCGGATTAGCTCCAAATATCCTTCCATCAACACATTTAGAACATCACCTGGCTGCTGATTTCGAACATTTTGCACAATAAGACACAAACATCTGTATTAAATTTTAAACCAGCCATCATAAGGCCTTGAATAATGTTTGAACCTGTAAACATTTATTCTCATTTAAAACTGACTAAAACCAACAAAACCTTTAAGAAGCTTTTCTCTTTCTTTACCTCTGAACATCATTGACCAGTCGAGTCTGAAGCAGCAGGTCCCTCTTGGGAAGCAGGTTGTCACAAATCAGATTCTGATTGGCTCTCACTGCCACCCCATTACAAACACACAAGGAACACAGGACATCCAGAATCTAAAAGAGAAAGAAAATCAGATAACTCTTGTGTCAGGCATTTTTTTATTGCTATCTTTTGTTTACTTAATTTATTGCACGAATGTGTAAATGAAGTGCATTCACACACCCTAAGATGAAAATCCACACCTCATTTCTCAGTTAAAGGTCCAGTGTGTAACATTTAGTGATGAGCATCTATTAGCATAAATTGAATTTAACGTTCGTAGGTATGTTAGGTACTTGAAAGATTGAGGTGTATTCAAATTGTTGCAATCTGCAACTTCACCATTAGATACCACTAAATCCTACATACTGGTCCTTTAAATGATCAGTTGTTCAGTCAGCTGCAATTATTGTAGCACATGCATGCTGCATAAAGGACCCGCAGGTCTACAAACGCCACTCATGATCAACAGCTGTTGTTTACGAGGATGCCCTTTCGTGCCTGGTATAATTTACAAGGTAAATACGAACAGACTGAGACATTCATACATACATAAACACTGCATGTCAAACACATGGTTGTAATGTCATAAAAGACATAAAACGTAATTTGATATGAGGTCTAAATCACAGCCATGCCAAAGATGACAGCACATTCTTTAGAGTTACAAGCTGTTAGCTTATTTGTTCAACACTAATTAAGGTTTCATCCACTGAAATGTAAATCCTTTCTCAGGGTAAAATGTCTGTGTGCTGCGTTTAGTTTTGTTGTAAAATTCTGTTTTGTCTGTTAAGAGCACACTTCATAATTCATAATATGAATTTCATAATGAGCCAAGTGTGAAAACACTCTCAGGCCATAATTAACATTTTAAATTAGTACCACTAGAGGTACCAAAGTGGTGTATCCATTTTTCACCAATTCAACAATTTGTTTTTCTGATGTGTTATGACCTTGACAGCCTCACTGGACGCCAGCAAGGCAATATCTTTACTTTGTTAACATTAACAGTATCACACTGGGTTAGAATTTAATAGTCCTATTTGAGCAATTACACATGGAATCATATGGCATCACAGCATGAGTCAAAGCCAATCACCATTCAGTCTTAACCATTCAGTCTTAACCACCCATAACAGTACTATGTTCATCTTTCTGCCCACCTTATGGTTCCGTCCATGCTTGTAGAGCAGAGAGATTATTGATTTAATGTGAGCTCTCTGAATGATGTTCAGAGCCTCTGGACTTTCTACCAAGATACAGTGGAGGACCTCCAGGATCCCTAAGAGGTCAGACAAAACATTTGTTATTATTATTATTATTATTATTATTATTATTATTATTATTATTATCGAACAAATGTATAACATATAGACTAGCTCTTAGCATCAGAGGAGCATTTATTTTCCTGACATTTCTTTCAACAGAGGATGTGAAAAAATGTGTTTCCCATAATACCTGATGAAGATTCCAGTCTCTCCAGTTTGCTGACCAACCAGTCCAAGTTGCGGGAAAACTGGGTGCAGTTGTTCCTGTTCCCGCGAATGAGTGAGGCTGAACAAAGGACAACGTTTTCAAGGTTTAATGAAAATACACACAAAGTTTAGTAAAGATGTACATAATATGGTTAAAGGTGTAAAATTAGATCCAACAGTGGATGTTGCAGACAGAATTACTTTTAATGGAAAATAGTCCATCATTCTCCTGTGAACATAAAGTCACTGTCTGACATCTTTGGTCCACAGGTAGATATTAAAATTCAATAAATCTGTGAAGTCCCCTGACATCTACTATTATGAAGTCTTTCTAACAGAAAATACATGGGAAAGGTTTTTAAGCGACTGTGAAGTCAGGCGCTCCCTCCTCTCCAAAAAGTTGAGGTGCGTTCCGTCATGCCCTTTCTCTGCGACCATGGTGACATTAAGAAGTCTCCTTATTACTTACTGTCTCATTTTTCACCATTAGGATTCAGGGACACTGGACTGATAATGCCCGTGAAACAATTTAACAGCACTTTGTGCCATAGGAATACTGATGGGTGTCTAATCTCTTTTAATTCTACCTTTACAGGAAAGCTATCGTTTAATACGAACACATGCCACACCACAAGGCAAAAGCAAGGATGTTCACTGTGAATGATGTATGATGTGAATGTGAATTAAAAGTCAGAGATGGAGAGAAGGAACCTGAGGTTAGACGGACTACAGACTTCAAATAAGGGTTACATTAGCATAGCCTATATTAAGTGATATAGAAACTACTATTATTAACTACTATTAAATAAAGTATGAAAGACTTTTAGTGATATTAATACTGGCAACATTTCAATGAAGAGAAACAACTGTAAAACAATTTATGTGTTGAATCTAGGTTTAAGTCATTTTTTGTGTTTTTGTCACATTTTTTACATTTGTAATGATTTGCAGATGTAATAAGTGGATTCTTTTAGCATTTGAAGAGCCTATTTTACTTTCAGTCAGTTTGCAGGCATCTTTTTTCTTTTTTCCATTTCTTTTTGATGATTTACCACAATGTATGAATGGTCCATGTCCTCACCATTAAACAGGTAGGTTGACCTACTGGACAGTTAACTTACACTAATAACTAGGTGAATTGCAACAGAGTTACTATGGAGAGGAGGTCAGGAGAACAAGGTCGCTGCACAATTCATCATGCGAAACCTGCTTTACCAGACTGCCTTTGTATCCTTGGGGGTGACCCCTCTGTGGGCAAGGCTGGAGTGTATTCAGAGGAGTGTTATTTGTGGGTTTTGAGCGTGTGTGTTTAATGTGTGTATGTGTGCATGTGGGAGTACATGCTGGGGAGGTGATGATGAATATAAGGGCAGCCAAGGTGAGCCGAGGGGAAGCTGTTGATGGGAAAGGTCCACTGACAGCAAAACAAACTACTCAAGAAAAAGTTGTCTAAAATAAAACTTTTCAGGGTCATAGCTACATGACTCAATTCAGGCCCTGAGAGAATGGGATAATGCCAGCACCTGTGATGGCTGGCATTTTGTTAATGACACCATTATTTCATCAAATATGCGGCTGAATGCTTTGTAATGTGCTCACACTGATCTCAGAGAAATATTTGACCTAAATGGAAGGCAGAGCAGATTGTGCAAGAAGAATACAAGAGACATTCTGTCTTTGCTTCTCTCTGCACTCCCTTGTCACAAATAATTACATATAAATGTCATGTAAAGGCTATCACCAGCTGTGAACTCCAGATGTGGCATAGAGGAAAACAAGCGTAGGGCTGAGGGAGTTTATGGAGGTCAAAGGAAGGAAGGAAGGAAGGAAGGAGGAGAGGAATTGTAGACTGTGAAGTGTAAAGGAGAAGAGGAGGATTTGATGAAGACACTAGGGGAAGATTAATACTGCATGTCTACCCAGGGTCAACAGCTGACAGTGCTGACAGAAGATGTGGATATTTCATATGATCCATCACTTAGGCCCGCTTACCCAAGAGTTCATAAAGGAGGTTGAGAATGTCCTTCCACGCTGCGCCTGCCTCCTCCCCAGCCATCTCTCCAAAGTGGGCAGCACTGTCATACAGGTTCATCCGGTCGATGCATTTGGACAGGAGGGTCAGCATGCCCTAATAAAAAGTCCATGAATAATCGGTGATTCACCTCATTATACCAAATGTATATTAATTTTTCTAACAAGATGTAAAATAAGATTTTTTTTTATTGCTCTATGGGGTGAAGTTTAAGTTAAATGACTTGTTCATTGGTTGTATTTAAAGACACTAAGGTAGGAGAGGTGTACAACATGCTCCAGGTTTATTTTGATTGCTTATTGGTCTCTAAGATGAAAAATGTGAATCTTCCAAGGGACAAATGTCCTTGCACATAAAGGAAGCCAGACAAATATAACTTGTTTTTTATTTAGCCAGGGCAAAGTCTCATTGTAATTTAACATTTCCACTGTGGCTTAGGTTTTGAGGCAGCAAAACAAGGTTTGCAGAAGGTCAGTTGAATTAGTTTTATTAAATTAAAAATATATTTAAAACATTTTAACCACCCCTCTGTCCAATAACTGCCCAATTTTTTTTTTTTAAATAAGACTTATATAAAATATAACAAAAGCTATAGAATACTGTATAATATACATTAATGCTCTCAACTGCCATCTTGATATATCTAAACTGAAGCTGCTCCAGTCTCAAGTGGATAAAAGAGTTTAAAAGTTTTTTGGTTTACAAAGGAGGTAAATTTCCCTCACATAGCAACTTAAGCAATCAGCATTTTGTTAGAGCTTCTTAATCAGACACATCATCCGCTCTCACCTCCTCCTTGAAGAGGTCTTGACGTTTGATGAGTGAACGGAGACAACATTGTTTCTCCTCATGCTCCAGTTCTGAATCGGGCTGTTGGAAGTACTCAATCAGGTCGTTCAGCGTCTGCAGCACCTCTTCAACATACCCGGCCACCGCCATGGACTCACCCTCCGCTGTGATGTCCAAAGCTCTGAGGGGGAGGGACAGGGATGACCAAGAAGGAGAATCAAGCTGCTAAACTTGAAATAAATCCAGCAAGAACTAGCATTGTGTGGGTGTTTGGTCATGTTGTGTGAGTGGAACAGAGAAGACAGGTACTTGATAAAGTTGGTAAAGAGGAACGTGGTGTTGCGGATGATGCGTGCAGCACGAGACTCTTCATGCTGACAGCGCTGCAGGATAAGCCCATCGTCCATGTGGCCTTCAGAATGCAGGCAGGCCTACACCGGGACAGACACACACACAAATAAATATGCATTCCATCATTATAATAGGACCCACACCGTCAAATGTATAAGGCAATAAAACAACCATGTGTTAGTAAATGTCCTTCCGTCCAATCAGACTTTTGAAAATGGAACCATATATCATATGTGATTTTATTATAGTTATAACAGCTACAGTTAATGAAGAATACAGAAATACACAATCATAGCCTCATGGCAAAATTGTTCTCTGATGATTCTCATATATAAAGGTAAAGTTATAGCAGATACTCTGCAAGCTATTGATCAGAGGCTATGAGAAAAACCATTTAAGTATGTAATGGGTAAGTGTGAAGGGAGAGACTCCTTCAGCTAGTGGGTTTACTACAGCTCACTGAAACCTGACTCACTGTAATCAACAGCATAATCAAGAAGTAGGAGGAGGTGGGGGGCTGGGTTAAGTGTAGACTGGCCATCACCTCCAACATGTCAGGTGCACTGGCATGCTGCCAAGGCTGCAAGGACTGCCTGGCGCCAGCACGAGATGGCGTTTGATGTCCCTGGAGATGTGCCCAGCGATGAGCAGCGTTCATGTGCCACCCTAATCCCCCCCGTCTCACCCAAAACTAACTGTCACCCTCTACATGGCCCATTATCACATTTAAATGGGTTGCTACATCATGTGTCCAGGACGGGTCGATGTCGGGGGAGGTGGGGTTGCGTCAAGAGTATCCAGGTTGGACAATGATTTGAAGAAGGGTGGAAAATAAATATTTGCCATGGCAGGGTAGGTGTTTAAATGACCATATAACCCACGGGTGTGATTTGCAACTGTTAACATGGGCTTCGAGGTGTTGGAGACAAGCTATGGCAAGTATTTAGTATCTTACTGTAAACACATAGGTAGACAGATGCCAGATACCATATACATAGTTATTTATATTACTATGCAACAGTGCAGTGATTGATTCATAATTATGCAACAGGCACTTTCACCTATGATGTCTGATTAACCTGCAACATTTTTCTAAAGGACTAATAATGTCCAAAAGACCACGAATTGTGGGAAAAATTTTATTTTTTCAAATAATATGGAAAATGTATGCCAAATAATGTTTGTTTTGTCTGACTATTTCATATAACATAAAATCTATAACTCATTTTGTCCGTTTTCCATGACAATTTGATTGCAATTATAGAAATAGCCGCTACTTCAAATGACATTCGGATATGATAATTATGTCACAATGCAACTACACTGAAAGTATGTACAGTGTATGTACATAACTGCACAACAAAAGGAAGTTTCTCAGTCATTAAACACTGAGTAACAACTCTTGCTCTAAAGGAAACTATATACATTACCCTGTATTTCTTACTGTAGGTGAACTTAAAAACAAAAAACTATCTGAGCACAAAAATGTATAATAATAATGACTAGTACACAGAAATATGAATCTTATGATGATCTTATATGAAACTGTCTTCCATTTAAAAAAAACATTGCTTATGATGACTGAATTTAAAGTCTTTCTGATGTGCATGGGAATAATGTTCCCGTAAATTCTGAAATGATTCATTTTAATGTGACCTCTGGAAGGATTATGTGAAATGTAAGCTGTGGGAAAAGTTGTAACCTATTTACCCTTCTTTTCAGGGGTCCTAGGCGAGACGATTTGGCATCAGGTGCCAGGTAAGACAGCCAGAGTCCTGTCGCCACATGCATGACGAAGCAGACAGAGTCTCCGTACTTGATCTCTGGCACTCCCATGCCGTCGATGTCCCTCTTTGGGCCCAAGTCGCCCTTTTCCTGTTGTGTTGACATTGAGAGGCACATACCCACATTACCAAATATACACAGAGAGAAAAGCAGCACACACACAACACACAAGCATTGAAATATGACAAATGAAGATATATTATGATTAGATGCTAATCAGAGAGGCAGGTTGAGGAGAGTGCATTCATTGGCCTGCCAGGAGGTTGCTGCTGGCCTCATTAGCTCTGCTACATTTCTGGCTCTGCAGAGATGGAGCGATGCAGCTGATTTCAGTCGACAGCAAGTAGCGGGGAACATATTAATGCCAATGTTCAACATGGCAAAGCATTGACCTTTTTAGCTACAGGAATTGACTGGCACTGGGTTGCGTGTACAATGGGGGGAGGGAGAGGAGGTGATGAAATATATAGAAAATAAGAGTTTCTATCTTTATTTATTCTTCCAAAGAAGCATGAATCCCTAGTAATCCCACAAAGCCTGTGGGTCCTGCAGGAATAGTGATTACTGAGGGCAATTACACTGTGTTGTCAGGAGTGGGTTGGGTTGGAAAATTAAAGCCTCTGAAGTGGACAGCACTCAGGAGGATTTCATACTATACCTATTGCAGATAAAAGATATCTACAGGGACACAATGGTACTCTGTGAAGGTGACTCATGGCACTGTGCTGCTTATGTGGCTGTAGCCATTTCAACAGAGGATAATAAAGCAGGATTACTTATTCAGCAAACAGTAAATTCACGAAACCTACTATAGATATTTTTGCATATTTTTAGCTAGATTTGTAAAGGTGAGGGAGGTCCAATATAAACATGTACACATAAAAGCTTTTTGCTAGATGTACTGAAGGTAGAGGCTCTAAAAACAGCCAAAACAGGAAATAATTGCATTATTTGCCTTTAAAACAAGATTAGGAATCAAAGCTGTTGGATCGCAAAGGGACAGCAAGAAATAGAACTGTGAACAGTAAGACAATCTTTCTCCTGCATTAAATTCTAAATTCTAAATCTAAATCTAAAAAAAAAATCTAAATTGCACAGTTCACAAGAAAACACAGCATATCTGTCACATGCGTCACTAAACAACATCACCAAAATACCTGCTTTCAGTTTGAATTTCAAGTAACCATGTGCTCCTTTCTCCGGGTTATTTTTGGCAGTGCGACTATTTTTGGAACACACTACTAAAACAATAGAACCAAACAGCCCTCGCATTGAGAGTTCAAAACACAGTGTGGGATAAAAAAGGTTGAGTAATTGAGGGATAAAAATAAGCAAAGGCAAATGAAAAGAATACAGTAGGTACCCTGAAAATCCCCCGATGCATCACAGTGAATCTTAATACTGTGTTGGTAAATTTCTTCCGACTTTTTAACTGAAAATGGCTACATCCCAGCCAGTCGCTAATAGGCCAGTGGACAACATGAATGTTTGCTCTAACATTTACAATGCTGTCTACTCAGCAGCTGTGAAAAGGTCAATTTATTGTGGCGAGCCATGAGCTCATTAAGAGCTTACAGTCCCATCTCGGGAGTCTTTGATGAAGTAGTCAGGGGAAGATATTTTGAGTCCTCTTTTAATGAGGTAAGTTGACTAGGAACATTTATTTACATCAACACCCGGAGCCGCTTTCAGATGGTGTAACTGCCTTGCTCAAGGGGCACATCAGAGCTAGTTGTGAAAATAGAATAAATGAATTATGCTTATTTAGGGAAAGCGAGCACTGACCTTGGAGGGCCTGAAGCAGAAGGCAGTGGATGTGGTGTCGGACATTCCTCTGTCCTGCAGGACCAGTCCGCGGTCCTCAGTCAGGGCCAGGTAATGGCCAGTAGAAAGGTGGCGTAGTCGGAAGGCCTGACCCCAACGAATGTGGCTACCGCTCCAGCTAAACGCAGAGTACAGGTGTCAGAAACTATGCATACAAGACTGGATAGTCTGTGTTCTTCAATACTGGAAACCTGATATAGGTGATTGTTACGTCCATTTTGCAATTGACAGGTGGTGGGTAGACAGACAATAATATCAGACTTCTCTGACTTTTTAATAAAACCTTAAATACGTTTTTTTTTTTCTGTTTTGTTTTTCAGCACAAAGCAGTCAATACTTTAATTTGGACAAACTCAGACTCTACTTTTTTGGTACAGATTGAAATGTGTCTGTTACACAGAATAACAAAAACTCAGAAGTACTAAAAGCTTGCATCAATTGTCCTGTAAGATTTAAATTGTTGTTTAGTTATGACTTAATTAGACAGTTTCTTATTGAAACTATTTAGGTCAATTCTTCTGAGGGTGTTAACATTGAGCCATGTTAGCAGCCCTAATTCTGGAGGCAAATAACAAAACAACAGCTTCTCTAGCAATATAATTCATGCAAGCTAAGCTTTCAAAATCTCGATGATGATTTTATAAATGAATGAAACAATGATACACATGTATTTACACGTTGAAAATAATTCCTTTTTTTCTTTTTAAACTAACATATAAAGAGCAATTTCACTCTACATTGCAGATTAAATGACCCAATTATAATATTTTCTAAATGTTTAGAAAGCCATCTGCAAGTGGAATGAGAACGTCAACTGAGAAATAGATAGAGTTCAACTTTCATACTGTCAGTGGGGCTTAATGTTCTCTATATGAATGATGCAGGGTTGAAAATACTGTTCAAAATTCCTCCCTAAGCCAAGAAGGAGAACATGTGCCTTAATAGATGCACCTGCGCCATTTCAAAGTGTACAGACTCTGACAGGCAGTCCCAGTGAGAGCCTGCAGACGATGTGACAGGAGGGGATTTGCGTGGGTGGCCAGTTAAAGAGGGAAAGAGAGGAAGAAGGTGTGATAGACAGAGCAAGAGAAGTAGATTGAAAGGGATGGTAAACAGAACCTCGCCTTTTGAAGGGCTCTGCCAACTAATTGGTAGCAACAGTTCAGAGTAGCGGGAGCTGAAGTTTATATATAATTGACGATATATTCATAACCTACAGTACAGTATCTGTGACATCTGTACATAAAGCACCAATTCTTTTTATTCTAAATGAAGAGATCTCACTAAAGGACAGCACGTCTGTGAGAGTCGGGTTTATGTTATTTACTTTCCGGAGTTTATTTTATTCAGTATGTTAGTGTATTTGTGTCTCATCTCACCTTATCCTGAGAGGTTCCAGTCTCCAAAGTGAGCGGGCCTTTGACGCTCCCTTTCCCGCTTCATAGTTGACTATCCTGAGAGCACAAAGACACAAGTGGGAGTCTTTCAAGTCACAGTGGGAATAAAATAACTGGAAGAGTTTCTGCTACTGATACAGTTCATACACAGGAAATACCAACAATGTTGATTAAGTCTCACTGCCCAAGCATTTGGACAAGAAATTCTTCCATGTGACATAGTATCATACAAAAACAATGAATATATGAATATTTCTTTAAATTCTGCATTTGTTATGCTGAAGATATTCGAATGCACTACCAATGGAATTATGATTTATAATTACAATTTTGTAACATACAAGTTAGTTAGTTTATATTTTAGCTTGATACAAGACAAAATTAGGTTTTTTTTGTCATACTGGTTATGGAAGTAGAAAATATCCACAAACATGGGGTCAGAGGTCAGGGTCAGCAGTGAAAACACATCCCTTAAGATGTTATTAAAGGATAGTAAAGCGCTTCTTGTCAAAAACTAACAGAAAAAAAACACCCACAATTGATCTGATTTTCTGACATTTATGGATTTTTGGAGTTTATGGATTATTTCACACTGTTATATACATTCACACACAGGAGGTCTTATTCTGCTGGCAAACAAACCTTTTGATCAAACAGCACTTCACCCTATAGAACTATTGTTGTTGAACAATTATTATCTTATTTATCATCCCCAAAAACTAAACTACTTTATTATTTGCTAGTTTCAAAGATTTTGAATATTGACTGGTCACAAGACAACTTGGACAATAACTACATTTAGTTGAATGAATGAGCTAATCATCTACTAACCTCTGCTCCTCCTCACTCTTGTCTGCTCCCGGGATGGTCAAGCTCTCATCATGACCATGACAAAGACGCATCACATGGCCACCAACCAAAAACCCTATTAATAAGAAAAACAACATTGTGTTACAAGATACTTGACTATTATTGACCAACCATCTAGAGAAAAAGAAACAGAGTGCTTGCGGCTGTTGTTGCTCGGGACGTGAACTTACCTACAGCCATGCTGCCTGAAGAGCAGGTAGGCTGGATGTTCCACAGCGTCTGCATGAAGGAGGCATCTACCTGGTTGTTTCCGTTGGAGACAGAGAGGTGCTGCAAGAGAGAAGCCGGTTAACATGGCTTTAGACAGAAGGGTGGAGAGTGCCACTGAAGTAGTTGTGTTAGCAAGAGGGAAGCATGGACAGACACTGAGATACAGCAATACAGCACAGAGGAAGGTGATGTCCCAGTGTTGGGATTGAAAAGAGAATAAAACAACTTTGTGTCTTTCCTCTGGAGCTGCCAAACAGTGTTATAACGCTGTGAGCTAAACAGCACTGCTACATCAGTTGTTTTTTTTCCATGTTGCAATGTCCAGATAATCCTCAACAATAATTCCTTCCAGTAGAAACACTTGGAGCAGCTCCCATTTCGCTACAGGCTGGATTCAGAGGCGAGTGAAAGCTCAAAATGATCTCAGCCTTCAGCTACGTACCAGTTACATGTAAACGTGGTACATCTTGTTCCATCTCACTTAACTCCCCTGAAAATTATGTACTTTGACATTATTGTTGGGCCAAATATAACCATCCATTTAGTGTTTTTATAGTCTGTCTTTGTGCTATAAAAATGTACAGTACAAGTATTTCAGTGCAACATTCTCTGTTGTGTTGTATTGTATGAAGTCAAACTTTTTGTGCTCTAGCTGTCCCTAATATGATTAATTTTATTGTCCTGATATTTGGGCACCAGCCTTAAACACCAGATGCAGAGCAAAGGGAAACTGCTGACACAAATCAGCCTAACTGGACACAGAGACATCACGCCTAAAAAGACTGCGTCACAACCTCTACGACTGTTCACAGTGATGGAGCACTGATGATTGCTTTTTGCCTGAATTTCTGATGTGTCTCATTCTTCAAAAGCTGAGATTCTGTCAGGCTGATTCAGGTGAAGATTTCCCATCGGAGGAAATAAAGTCTGGCTCTTTGCCAGTTTTGCTTTAATTGCACATTTCCCTCCCTAAAGGACCATAGCATCCACTAGAAGCTAGTGCTGCTCACTCTCCTATGCGTGGCACGTCACTGTCCCTCCTCCTTTTCATTTCTCTCTGTCTACCTCTCATTCTCCCTCTTGAAATCTCCCTCTCCTCTCTCTTTACCTAGTAAGTTAATTGAGGTCGGGTGTATAGCTCTGCATTAGGGAGACAGCATTAACTCTAAGCTCATCAGTCAGATGGATGCCTTCCCAAAAAAAATAATTTTTAAAAAGAACCTGCACAGGAGGGGTTTACAAGTAATCAGATTCCCATTACAGATAGCAGTGAAAAGTTTTAACGGTTTCCCCTTGAATTGCCTTGTCACTCTGAAGTTGGCTGGAGTGAGATGGGTATCAGAGCTATCCAATGGCTATGAGACTTTCATAAGTGCCTTTTTGAGACAGACAGCGAACCAAAGCAGATAACTCCGGCTATGTGGGGCGCATAATCTTCAGAATTTGGTGCATTGTCTGCCTCTAAACTCTTGTGCATTCAGAGGAATACAATTCTGTTCTGACATGAAAATAACTGGCAGAGAAATAAGAAAACCCCCAAAACAACAGCAGAGAAAATCTGAATGAAGTGAGATCTGACAAGCAAACCAGACAAAGGAAAATGAGAGATTATACAGTGTGCATCGGAAACAAGAGACTGTATTTGATGTACCCTGACTGTCTGAAAAACGGTAAATATTCATGAGAGAAAAACCTCTTATCTGGAAATGAGAAACCGAGTTGAGGCCTGCTGATTTAATGAGAATAGCTTGAGCTGTCTGCTCAAGAGTTGGGAGTGCTTTGGTTAATGGCATCAAAATGCTAACTGATCATAATGTCAAATTTTCCTAGAGGTTTAGTTCAAATTCAGATTTTTTTGCACACCAACAAAAAACTTTAACTTCAACTTTCTGATACTTTTCAGTTACAGGTCAGTTTGAAAGGATCTACAGCGGAGAGGAAATGCTGGACATGACCTACCAGGTATCTCTCTGTTGACACACTGACAAGGATCAGGTCGTCTCCGATACGGACTTTCTCTCCCTCAGATCTTTGCTTGGACGCAGGGTGGATTGTCCACCAGCAAGCCTCTCCTATTGACACAAAAACATTATCCATATATTGATAATGAAGTAAAATACAAACATACATACATACATTTGGGTAGCTCTACCGTCCAACACAGTCACACATGTGCCATTTTAGATAATCCGGATTCCTCTCTGTTGTTAAAGCAACTGTCTAGTCTGAGCAAAAAGCATAAAAACAGCCATCATCTGAGGAAGACTGAAGTAACAGTTTAAGTATCATTTCCACTTAAGCATTAAGCAAATGGCCTTAAGCATTTCTCTAGTTCATAAGTCAAGTGTAGCACAGAACACAGTTACAGTATAGCTTTTGATTCCATGTCAGGGTTAGGTTGACCTGAAATGGCTACTCAGAAGGACTGAGTTTAACTAAAAGCGATAAAAAACCAAGCGTCTGTTAGTCATACTGTACCTATTGAATCTTCTTGTAGTCCGACATCAAATGACAGCTTGTCTGTCAGAGACCTTGATGTTTTCAAACAGGTCAGGTACTAGTGAGTGAAAAATGAATAAGTGTTAGGTCAACGGGAAAAAAAGCTGAGAGTGGGAGCAGATCAAAAAATAGCTTTGGACTTATACTAAAAATGTAATGCTAAAATAATTAGTTGATTATTAGATTAGTTGATTGGGAAAATTAATTCACAACAATGTTATTGTCAAGTTAGTGTTAAAATACCAAACATTTGTTGATTTTAGTTTTAGCTTCATTGTTTCATCCAGTTTTTCTGTGTTATGCTAACAAATAAGGGTCATGAATATATAAATACACATGTATGTTTCTTATTTCAGCATGTGCCACTAAGCACTACTTTACTGAACAATCATCAAATTGTTTTGTTGATACTCACCATACCACTGAAGGAGTGGCGAAGGAGGATGGCGTGACCGTAGAGCAGGGTCCGGTGTCCACCCCCCTGACCCGCCTGCCAGGAAATACACAAGTAATAAATGATCATCATGTGGTCACATAGGATCTTTGACCTATGGACCCATCAAACGATCTACAGCCGTTAGTAACCTCTATTTGAGGTATTAAGTTAAAAGTTCCCTCTGCTTTTGACCCTGTGTTTGTAAAGTGCATTGGGACTGAATGGATAAAGTATCTCCAACTTCGGACCTCCATTCCAAGTGCAAGCAGGAAACAGACGAAGAAATGGGGAGGGAAACACACAAAAGTACACACACACAATCAATCAAACCAACAAACACAAACATGTACAGTACCACACTCATTACACAGCTTGCCCATTCTTGTGACAAACAAGAATAATTGTGATATACTCTAGCACAATGGCTGAGGAAATGTGAGGAAATAGTTGAGCAAAAAGGATAAAAGATATGATTTCAAAGACAATTTTACTTACCTTTTTAATCAACCTCTAGCGGCATTAGAAAAAAAAAGAAAAGGTACCATAAGAGGTGATATTTAAACCATCTCTGTATCAATAGAAAGATATACAACAGATATAAATGTGGGACAGGGCTAAAGCAGTAATAGAGCCAGTTCACTTTTAAATCAATTTAATCTGAAGACTCATAATTTAATGTGTACATGGCACATCCTTTTCCATTAGAAGCTTCTTATACATTTCTGACAGTTTTCTTTAAGGTTTTTTTTATTGAGTTTAAACTTTGTATTAAATTAGAGGGCAATTTTGCCCAATAGTCACAGATCTAGTTCTCATACATATTTCTCATTGTCAATGGGGATATGTTTATTTTTAGGCCAATAAGACTCTCCTCTCGCCTACAGTTAATTTAGAGTGTCGAGTCTACCAACATGTTGTGTGTTTCTTGTCTTTGAAAATGACAAACAATATCTCAAAGAAACAGCTGGGACGAAGCCCAGGACTGAGACTGTGCTAACCAAGACGCACACTGCAGTGTTTATACAATAAGCAATAGATGTCGGCTATCCTCTTTCTTGTCCAGTTGTCAGTGTTAATTTGTGTGTTTGCCTGTCGGGTCACATTTAAACTGACCTACAGGGAACTCCCAACTGTCCCCTGAACATGATCCCAAGCTAATTCTCTTTTGGCTACCAAGTATCTCCCAGATGGCTTGTGTAAGACAGACTAAAAAGGAAACAGAGTTCGATCAAAAGAAAAATGGGAAGAGTATCCAGCAACAGCTGGGAGTGAGGGAGGGGGTACAGAGAGAGAGGGAGAGAGAGAGAAAGAGCCAGTCTGTATTTCAGGCCCGGTGTCCTGCTGACACATCACTGCCAGGAACTGTGACCTTTGGTTTGGTGCCCCTCCAGTTGTAAGTACGATATTCTAAAAAGCTTTCTACTAAGGAGTGCATTTGTGTGTGAAACAAAGACAGAGACATTTGTGTGGGTGTGTTTGCATACATACTGTATGTGAATGTGTGTACAATAAGTTATGTTTTAAATAAATACTGTAAAGGTTTTTGCTCGTAGGCCAACATTTCGTCACGAGGACATAGCTAGACTGTGAAATCATCCTTTGTGTCATGGTAGATTACTGTCTCTCACACTCAGCACACACTGCTCCGGCTAATACTTGCATACTAGCAAAGATAAGTCAATAAGATGTGTCCTACAATTTAGATTAACCCTGATGAGCGTATCATATTTGTGGGGGGCTTTGCTTTAAAAGGGAAGCACCCATCACAGGCATTTGGTGCAAATATTGAATAAAAGACTAAATTTTAAAACTTTCAGCAACAATTCAACAGTATTGGAAGATGGCTGGACACCACACTGTTGGGAGTGTAGGTAAGTTACACCTGGCTAAAAATAGGTGTAACACTACCTAATAAAACTTCTGTTTACAGTATAATACAACAGCACCATAAACAGCCTCATAAGATCACCATAAAGTTGAACCAACACCTCTTTAAAAAACAATCAAAACAAAAAATTAACATTATAATAAAGTTAAAATGTAGATTTTCTGGGGTTTTCAACATCGCTAACGTAGTTTAATAGACTAACGTTACAGCACAGATGTTAAAAACAACTTGGAGACTTAAAATCTTTCTTGTGCTGTTGCTGAGAAGTTGAGCTGTAACTGTTACTACAGAAGTTTCTACAGAATACATTACAACAACGGTTACTAACATTCACAAACCGTAACGTTAGCTTTGGACGTTTAACGCTCACGGTCGTTAGGTTCACGTAGCAACACTAGTTCGTGACCTCATCACGCTGTACGTGATGCCGTGTCTTGTCATCTATTCTATGCCACCTGTTGTATTGTTTATTTTAACTTACCTGTTGTCCGGTAGCGAAAAACATGACCATATCACGTCTATCCAACTACTTATCGATTTATATATTTGTCTATTTATAATGTAACATGTTTAATTAATTATCATCCAGTTTGACTCTGCTTCTTTTCTTCCTTGCTGAATACAGATAAAGTTAAAAAAAAAAAACAGCGTAGAAAAACTGTTGCAAGTGAAGTCATTATTAGAATAAAAATATAACCTATGCAAGTTTTGTGGAGTAGTATAAAGAAGCAGGAAATGAAAATACTCCAACAAAGTACCTCAAAATTGTACTTAAGTAGATGTACTTAGTTACTTGCCACCACTGATGCCCAGTCCTCAAATGCCCAAAGGATGTACAGCTCATATTACTGTAATCTCAGTACAACTACAAAGTTAAACTGAATATATTATAAAAAACCAAAGTGATACCTAAGTGATACTACTACTTATCAAAGCCAAAGCTAATTTACAATAAGAAAAAGGCTGCAACCAGCAAAAAGGCGTTGCTTTTACTTAAATTATAACAATTAAACTTTGACAATTCTAATTCATTATTCACATCTATAATCATTTATGTAATTGTTTTATTATTCTGTTGATTACCTTAAAAGCACTGTATAGGCCAGTATAACATGCAAACTTCTTAAATCACATTTTGGTGGCTGGTCTTTCTGCCTGCTTAGCTTTTTCAAGAAATGAATCAGTGTCTGCTTCCTCTTTTCTAAAGCCTGACAGAGCCATTACACCAAACCATGACTAAGTAATTAACCTAAATGTTCACTTAATACCAATAGCTTATCTTATATGTAACAGCCTGAGCATGGGAAAGAGCACACTAGTCAATTTTTCAAGGCCATAAAGAAGGGGGTCATGCCAGACTCATTTGCTAAGTACCATCTGATATATTGATTCTCATGTACGTATTCAATGCCCTGTCCTCCAAATCATCTGGATAATGAGACAGAGATTGTGCACTATTTGCTTTACATTTACTCCACAACAGTCCATCAAAATATGATGTATAACCTGATGTTTAATATGTGACAATTAAGAGAAAACAAAGAAACAGCTTGATCTAAAAATCAAAAACCACAGGTGAAAGATGAAAAATAAATCAGTGTAGCGTGCAGGCAGTCCAGTGAGTTATAAGAAGAACAAATAAATAGTCCTTGAATCACGTGTGACAGCTTTGCTCAACAGTGCATGTGAAGACTCTGAAATCGAAACAGATTTCAGGACATTTCCTCGTGTCAATACACGTACAAATTTACTGATGTTAGAGACAAAACCCAGAGAAAACAGAGCAGCACACCCAAACCACAAAGTGAGTTTTCTGCAAACGCGTGGGTTTCCGATCCTTTCATTTAGATTCAGTAAATTAGATAAATTAGTATTACTCATTACTACCTTGGGTAAGCAAAATGTAATGATAATATAGGTCTATGTATGTATGAACCATTTTAAGCTGTACACTAAGGCTTGAATCTGTTGCATTAAAAGCAAAAAAAAAGGAATAATTAGCTTAAGCAAATGCGAAGCAGACACTATCACTTGAAAGTGCTTGCACACTTGCACACAAAGTAGTCTTCAGAGGCAAGGCAAAACATTTGACCCGTGCACAAGGTGACAGCACCGATAGATGTCTATTTCAAGATTGCCATAATTTAAAGTTCAGAGACATCTGTGACGAGCTAATTGAGTGTCTTCTGACCGGCTGAGGGAAAGAGAATATGTTGAGCTACGGTGAGGTGAAAGCATAATTTACTATCCAGAGGGAGTTTACACAGAAATAAATGTACTTTTTAATATCCATTTGCACAATGTATGGTGAGGTGGAAAAATTGAAATGTATTACCATTAGCTTAATATCTCCCCACAATGCAGTACCTACCATGGACTTTTAAACTAAATGCTGTACACAATATAAATGCGACTTTTATGGCAATCGAGAAATGGGCGTCACTTCAAGTGAAAGTGCCGGAAGTTCAACCCTGTTGTTCGGCAGTCTGTCATGCACACTGACAACATGATGGATGAACGAACTGATGGACCTACCCATTTTTCATGGTCAGCACTCTAGTAACACACAAATACAAATGAAAAGAATGTGTTATTGGGGCGTATGGCAGTCAATTACACAAATCTGAGAGCAACAATAGAGAGAAATGGGCCCTTGCAGTGGAAAGGAAGAGGAGGGTGATTTATTAGCCTTGCTACCAGAGAGTTTGTATTCTAGCCAACATCATGTTGTCTTGCCAAACAAGGCCAGCCAACAATGTTGCACTTTTGAGCACAAAACAAATCTGCTACCCAGGCTAATAACAATGCAGGCCTGAATCACAGGACCCAAGCGGTATACAAAATAAGACACTTAAGGAACCATCTGTGCCAGAGGGCTATGTTGTGCATGAAAGTACAGTGGTAGCCAGAGACACCCAGCACAACACACAATTTGGGCTATCTTGCATTAGTATTATGGGATTTTCCTCTATTACAAATAGCACCGTAATGCTGTGCAGTGCTCGGGTTTCTCTAGTTGCCGCAGTTGGACTGCACAATGATTCATGCCACCATAGCTTTGTCATCTCTGTTCCTAGATAGCAGTGGTCTGTCTTAAGTATTGACTCATAGTAACATTTGGGCCCATTAACTGATAAATGCTTTCAAAATCAAATCAGACCACGTGTACCCAGCAGGAACAGTGATGGGGAAAAAAAACACTACCACTAACAAGCAGTTTCTTGTATATCGTGGTTTATTTGTCCAGATTTAATGCTAGGATCTATTCAATAATTAAGCACTGTTTTCTCTTAGTTTTTTCCCAAAACATATTAGGAGGAAAGGGCTCAACATTTCATCCAAACAGGGGTGATGCCATCCCTTCCCATCTCTTGACTGTCCACTCTGGATCTAGAAGTGCTGGGTGATAAGATTAAATGACACATGAAATGACTCTGTTAGAGCGCAGCAGCATGAGTGAATATGAGCATCTGACAGAGGTTAGCAGACCACACGCATCTCACTGGAGTGGCTTCGTTGCTGTCGACGACACCCCCGTGGCATTACAGAGTGTCTGCCCGATCAAAGATTACTTACCTGCTCTAATAAACATGCCAGGTGAGCTGGACCAGAGCTGAGAGGAAGGGGCTTACACTGTTTAGTGAAAATTAAGAGAGTGGAGGTTGAGGAGAAAGGAGGCTGTGGATGCAGCAGAGCACTCACAGATAATTTTCCTCTTTTCTTTGACCCATGACGGCCTTTCATTATCAGAGCCTTCTGATCTTTTTTTGCAAAACAGGAATGTGTAACAGAGAATGAAAAGAGACAGCTTCAATTGAGGATTCAATTGCAGTTCTTGGTGTTGTAGTAGTTCAGAGTATTGCTAGGTGTGGTCTGTCTGCTTGCTGTAAATCCTGTTGGGACATGATCCAACGTACTTATTGATTTTCAAACATATTCAGTTATCAAAGTCAAAATTTACTGTTGAAATAGTTTGAAGTATGTGCAAAATAATAAACTGTCAATGAAGCATTTGTCCATTTAAATATCTTAGATCTGGCAGCCTTATTCAGGGCGTACATAGCCACTACAGTTATTACCCTTTTTTACTGTCCTGTTAAAATGTTCTAACTTTCCATATTTTAAGAGCTCACTAACTGGAAAGAAAACTACATTTTGCTCAGACTATCCTTCTTAAAACAAAAGCACCTCATACAGACGGGATTCAACTGATGTTGCAGAGCATTTTTAATATTTCTCCTAATAAAACTTTTTGTTGTGTGTATTTCTTTGTGTTCTCGTATTTTACACCTTGTTTTTGTAGCTTAGGTGATTTGGTTTGTAACTTCAAAGGACCAAAAAGTTACTTTTAAGTAAAGAAAAGTCTTTATAATGTGAAGATCAGGTTTGTTTTTATATTGGATGTACTTTTCTGCAGCACCCAACATGGCCAAGATCCAGGTAGCAGAGCCAACAGGTACTTGCTAGTTATTGTTACAACTATTAACTGTTATAACTATTGTTTAACTACAGTATATTTCATTTTCCAAATCATTTACATTGAAGTGCTGCTTCCAGGATTATATTTCTGAAAATCCTGACAGCATTCAAATGCATCATTTTGGGAACAACAGCAAAAGCATCATGGTGGTTCCATGGCCTTGATTGGGTGCCCTCAAAAAATGCCTGAAGTGTTTCCAATCAGGCCAGTTTCCAGTATTTGAACTGAGAAGCTTCCTCTAAGCAGATTCAGTGCATTTCCAGTACTGTGACTGTTCTGCCAGCGAGGAATTTCTATTCAAGTTCGCTCAATAAATATTCCTTTAGCTAAATGATGTTGACTGGAAAACAGTAGTGAAGAGAATTATTCTGTTACACTTATCTTAGGCCTCAGTACATATAAAAAGCAGTATTATAAGTGTGAGTCTTCTAACTGATACTGTAAAAAAAACCTCAAGGGCATTTTGTGCAACTGGTAGAAAATTGATCTGTGCACGCGAGTGTGCATGCATGTATTGAGTGTTGGGGTGTGTTTGTGTAAATGAGTCGGAGAGCAATGGGGTATCAGTGGGAAGGAGGGAAGCACTCACCCCTTCGCTGTTCTGCCCAGTGTTAGCCAGCATCTCCTGCAGGGCCCGCACTGACAGGGACTGCTCCAACACAAAGTTACAAATACACAGGTCTGGAGGAACATTCTGCAGGATGGAAGGACAGAAAGACAAGAAAGTAAAAAGGGAGAGAGGATAGCAAGGAGAGGAGGATGAGGGGACAGAGGGAAAGAAACATTAGTTGAAAAGGCAATGACAAGGTGTTTTGAGCAAAACAGACTCCTCTCCTGGGTATAAAAATGTGCCAGGAGTTTTTCCTTGACTCTGTCTTTGTCCTTTCATGTTACCTGTCTAGCCTCGAGGGTATGCTGTTGCACCCAAACTCCCTGACGTACAGAACTCAGATTTTTGACATGACAGTGGCATATTATGAGACTCAACATACTTGAGACTAAAGACTTTTACAATTGTATCATTTTATCAACATTTATGGTGCACATTGACATTGTCATGACCTAAATAATAACTGCAGTGTCAGTCTAAAGTAGCTTGCAACTGGGGCCTGTTATAAATAAATAAAAAGTAAATAAATATATATTTAAACATTTTTAGAAAGCAACTTATTGAACTGACACCAGAATATTTCTAATTTACCAAATCCATAAACATACTTTTGGTGCCTGTATACTATATACACATTTTTCTACTCTATAGTATCTTTCACTTTAATTCTGGTGTCAGTGCAAGGTTACAAGGTAGATTTATTTACCATTTTACAACACAGGGTTGTATAACAAGATTAAATAATGATAAGGCTTATGTATTCTTTTCAGTTTATCTTGAAGATAGCATTGATGAATGCATCTTTTTATAAAGATAATCTTGGGACTTTTTATGCCTTTATTTTATGACAGGTGAAGATAGACAGGGAACGGGGGGAGAGAGAGAGAGGACGAAGTAGCAGTAAGTACTCAGCATACATGGGGCGCATGCTGTGAGCTACCATGTGCCCCAATAACTGCATTTTAAAGATAAATTACTGTAAAATGCTAATACAAAACACATGTGCACATATGCATGTAACATTTTAACTTCATTCTCATATTTACTTCCACAGCAGTAATTGGTTACTACATTAATTGCAGACTCTGATCTGAGACGAGAGACAAACTGAATTGATTTATCTGCTCAGTGAGGAATGGTACTCATAAATTATTCTGATGACTTGCAACTTCTTTGCCATGGGTGTGTTGCTAACGAGTGGCTGGGGATTATGAGGAGGGCTGTCAAAAGGTGTGCAGCCCAAGGCTGCAATGACCAATAATTAGTTTGGCCTATTCCTTAGCACAGTGTTCTTTGGCTCTTCTCTATTCTAGGCTTCAGATCTGGCTTTCACTCTCAGCAAAATGTTTAAGTTTGTCTTTAAACTTTAACTGCATAGCTGCTAGGATTCAATAAATTAGTTAGTAATAACTGATCATACTGAACAATTACATAATGCTAGTAAATTACTGGCAACTCATAAGCAGGTCGGAGGCAGACACGGGGACCTGCTCATTACTTGCATCTGCTTGTCCAATTATGCAAAATTAATTTACTTTGTTAGTACTAGATGGCACTGTTGATTAACATTACAATGCTGACATGACGTGTAAACAACACGTAAACAAACAAATTAGCCATAGCCCAATAACTCCCACGCACCCTCATATCAGTTCATATCCCTGACTTCATATCCTTGAATGATCCTAATATTAGTTAGTTCATACTTACTGTTTATCTCTATTTTATAACAATAGCCAGCTTCACATAACATGCACTACTATCCATCTCTCCCCAACACAGAAGAGGAATAAGTTAAAGTGTTGGGAGCCTGCCCTGACCCAGTAACACAACCCGCTGACCCTCGACCTCTGCAGTGAAGTGAGAAATGTGAGCGGAGGGGAGGGCTGCTGGGTGATAATGAGGGTGGCGCGGCTCTGTAACTCAACACAAACATTCATGGGACATTCCAACACCACTGTGTGCATGTGTCCAGTTCTGTGAGCTGCAACAGCCTGAAGAAAAATATTGTCCACTCAGATATTCATCATTTATTTGCATTTACACCCAGATAAGAGGTTTCCAGTGACAAAAAATCCAAGAAATATCCAGGGAAAAGACATTTATAAAAGGCTACGAACTCCAAAGTCTGGTTATCTTACCAAAAACATTCAGACAGGGCAAGCTGAATATTTACTTTGCCTGTGAGAGGGCACAACATGACATGATGATGCTACACCTGTGGTGTCATACGACCTTCTTCAGTGATAATTCGCAACCTGCTGCAGATCTTACACCTCTTATGAATTATTCACTGCCAATTTTCCAATTATCATACTTCTTCCAGGGTTGGGCAGACATACTGAACATTCTTGCTTGTCTGGAAATAGAAAAAGACAGTCTCAGTGGTCACAGTGACCTTTAGAAAGTCTAATTTTTTCTATACTGGATAGGGGGCCTGATTTAATTCAATATTATAAGCTGTAAAAAGTAAGTAATTAAGTAAAGTAGTAAAATGATTCTTCAAAAGACTAAACAGGATTTGACAATCTGAAGTCATATGCAAGTTATCCCAAAGAGATGAAATAAAGTGAAACAAAATTAATTATTATTAATTATTATAGTCTTCTCAGGGTCATATACTGTTGTTAATTAACAACAAATTAACATTAACTTCCTCTTGTTCCATAACAAATACATGTAAGCTGATAAAACTCATTTCTAAACGTTTAATAGAACTATAACACATTAAAAGTCTGGTGATATTCTATATTTTTGTTATTATCAACTAATCCCATTAAAAGACCAAACCAAACAATAAATTGATCCTACTTCTGCATAGCCTCCACAAACACTATTAAAAACACATCAATAATCTGCACTGTTGAACTGTGTTTATTGATTGTTATTGACCATGTTCTTTCATTATGATGAACATGGGCACAGTAGGTTGTTTTTTTTTTAGCATGTCCCACATACACCATCCTGTTAATACTCACTAGTGCACCAAGTGTATATTAATCCATGACAAAAAATTGTCCCCAACAAATTCACCATTTACTCTTATTTGAGTAACAGTTGCTAAATGCTTGCATCTGCTTGTCCAATTATGCAAAATTAATTTACTTTGTTAGTACTAGATGGCACTGTTGATTAAAAACTACAGTGCTCAGCTGTTGTTTAGCCTTTTCTTTATATTTAAAAATATAAATAAAATATAATATATAAAGTAAGAAAGTCGAACCAACGCGTTGATTGTTTTGATCTTTTCATGGGATTTAAAAGAATATGGAATATTGCCATCCAGTTAACTTAATTCTATAGTATTTTAATGAATGATACTACTGTAATGGCCCAAGCTTACAATATGTTACGGTAGTAGTTATGTGGAGCAACATCATAATCAAATACTGCCCCAGAACTCATCTTGAATCCAACATAATGTTTCACTCCAGACTTATTCTCTCTACCAGCAGCGGCAGGCAGCCAGGCTTCGTTAGAGTCTCAGAAATGAGGTGTCAACACCTGAGATCAGCCAGCAGATGACAGCCCCTCCCTTTGTGCCAAACCGGAGCCGTCACCCTCGACACTCAGCCACATTTCACACTCAAAGAGGCCCGAGGCATTGTCACCAGTGCGAAGGTAAGAGGTGAGAGGTGTTTGTGATGGTCTGCCAAGAATTCTGCAGAGGTAGGTGAACAGAAACGAGCCTTCACATCCCTAAGTTCTATTCAAAGTGTTATTGCTCAGCGGTCCAATTAAAATCACGCTTTACTTGAAATGCACAGCTTATAAAAACATCCTTACCTGCCATATGAGTTTTATTTTTACAGTTGTTATCATGTGATTATCACTCGTAAGGACACGTAAAATAAGTGTTGTCAAAAAGAAAACTGAGAACATCACTAGTACACATATATAGGCTGCATTGTCTGTCCCACGTACATCTGCATCACTGACTGACAACAAACTTGCTCCCCCCATTGAAATGTCTCAGAAATATCTCTAAAAATGTTGTGACTAATGATGCACATAATGATATACAACAATTATGTTATTATTAAGAAGCATATTCTCCAGAGACAACATGATCTGCTTCATTTCAACATGTCTTTCTTTGTTTTTTTTGAAGACCATAGAGTATCTTGTCGAAAAGAAGATTAATGAGACGTGTAACAGAGTACTGACAGCTCTGTTGTGTCGCTACAACACCACAGGCAGCAAAATGCAAATTTTAATAACACAGTACAACACACAATAAGAAACTTCACTCCAAAACAACAAAAGTGGTCAAAACCATCCTCTATGTCATATTTTTTGTTGTTCTGTCTAAGCCCCATGAAAAACCACTGGGATGCACCAGTGCAGAAACAAGTACCTGATTATTTAGGGTTCTGGCCAAGCTGGAAGCACCACAACAGGGAACTGAACCTGGACTCCCTCAGTGTGTGTGTGTGTGTTGGGGGGGGGGC